CGTTTAAATTATTAAACCGCATAACAATCGTCGGGACCAAGGGGCAGTCGTAGTCGCGGAAAAAGTCGAATAAAATATGACCGAATTTCGCGGTCCACCCGGTGTACTTGAACTATAAGCACTTGGATCCGATCAGCCAATGTTTTACTACCGGTTTAGCCAATCTTGCAGTTTAAACTCGGTTTACTACGTTTTAATCGGGGTGTGTACGCCGGGATTTTTCATTTTGACGACCGTGTTCAAACGATAAACACCGTGTTGCCAATAATAATTGGCCGGCACACACCTCGTGTATCGATCGTCGCGGTATAAATAATTTTGACGACGACGCGTTTGAAAAAACAAAAAAAAAAAAAATCAAAATCTATGAACACAGGAATATTAAAATTGACTACAATACGCGTTCGTTTATTGTGTAATCGTGAAATACACGGAAATATTTACGGAAAACGCGCGGTTTTGCATTGGGACAAAACTCTTTTCGTATTTACAGTAGAACTACCGAAATTACACGACACATAAAGATGAACATTATGTTGTTTATCGTAGCGTGATTACTTTTTTTTTTATTTTTCAACATAAATACAAATAAATTCATAATGTTTGTAAACTTTCCAGTTATTTATTTGTTTTTTTTTTTGTGCTTTGGTTTTTCATTTGCTTATAAAAACTCGTACCGACGCTACCGAAAAAATAAACAAGCTACGAAATATAGATAAAGTTTTTCTCTATTTGTATTCTGAAATTTTGGCACCTCTACTGAAAACTATACGAAAAGAGTATACACTAGTACATATAGTCGTCTCGTCCAAAACGGCTTTTTCCACAAATGTGTATTTTTTTTTTTTAGTTCATTTCACCGCCACAATAAACTTGCGATAATAACACGGGATCATTTATTTGAATATTTTCCGAGTTGATAAATGTCGATTTTTGTCGACGTTTCGATAAAATTTTCGCGGTTTCCGCGGCCTCGCCGTGAGTCATCGATGATTTCGAGTAAAGTGCAGTGTCGTATAATATAAATTATTAATTCATTTATTTATTCGTGTGACATTACAATGAACGATAGTACTAATAATTACATTTCCTTATTAGATAACAGATTAAATTTTTTATTATATCTAACATAAATAAACATTTAGGAGTGTAAACAAAATATCACGTCAAATTAAATTAGGTTAAATATTAACGTCCAGAGAATACAACCAGGCCGTAAGCGTTACTTTGATGAAGTCCTCCGAACCGCCGTTGTACCCTCTTAGTTGACAGTCTAAAAGTAAGTTTTGTTTCGACTGTACACTTGCGCCGCAAGCCGGGACTCCGGGTTCTCTCTAAACTTCTATTTGTACTTGAGTTCGTTACAATACTTCCTTGTCCCGTGCGTATTCGGTTGAGTCTAACTCAGGTTTTCCTAGGGAGGCACATGCCTAAGATTGGAGTTCGCACGTTACCTACGCGGATGCCTCCTGGTCACTATTTCAATAATACAGACTGCCACTCGTCGGGGTGATTTTCCTCTCCTCACCGATGGTCAGAGCTCTTTGTAGAAACGGCTGCCGTGATTTGAGCCTCGGGCTTTGCTATTCCAACCCCGTTTATTGGTAATTTCCGGTGTTTATCGTCGTATAATATTATTATTCGTTATAATTATGACAATAATTGATTTATGTGCTGCAATAGCGGGCGACTACAGTATTAATATTCTAAACTATAATACTGTGTTTACTGTAGTACTATCTAATTGTATAGTGTGTGTATTGTATATCTATCAAATAGTTTGTCCTGACTGACTGGCCGGATTCACCAGTGCCGAGCCGAAACCGGTGAAGCTATATGTGTGCAATTTTCACGGTACAGTTTCATTTTATGGTGTAAACACTCGCTAATAAGAAGAATTTTTTCAAAATTCACATCTGAAGGGTTAAAGTTAAAATAGTTAAAATCGTGAACTTCGTTGTTTCTAGGGGTTTTAAGAGCGACCGTTCTTGCGCCGTTAGACCGTCATGAATCGTGGCCAATCCCGTCTCTTAAATTTTCAAAAATATATAGTTCCTAGACTGCAGTGTTTCTCAAACTTGGTCAATGTACCGACCCCTCGTACATCAAACTATTTTTTTAAAATCCCCGTTTGTAAAAATCCCGTAATTAAAGGCACGGGAAAGTGAAGGGGAATTAGTGTGTTGTGATATTTAAAAAATAATGGAAATGTTATTTATTTTTTTTTTTTAATGAACTTTTCTTATTTAAACGATGTTAATATAAATCTAATTAAAATTAAAATTTCATGACGCAAATTTGTCAAGTTGTCCACGAAATACTTATGTTATCTAAAACGGTACACGAGTTATGCAACGACGACTGGGAAGGGCGCCGGCGGGACTTGTTGTCAAATCGACATCGGTTGTCGTGCGACCATAATATTATGGTACCCGCGATGTAAACTTCGCGAAGTCTGATTGTACAACTGTACATACAAACGCGGCATATATTATTATATTACGATAACCTGACCTATAACCTCCGTACACAATCATCGGGATTCGAGTTTGTACAAATAATTACGCGCGTGTTCGTTTACCCGATAATTATAACCAATCGATTTCGACCGTCGACGGTGGCGTATACCCATATCCAGTGGCGGATTAAGAAATTTAGCGCCCTCGGGCCTTGTACAGATTGGCGCCCTTATTGCATTTATTGCCATTGTAAACGGGTGTGAAATTGCTGGTAGAAAAGCTGTTTATAGGAAAAAAAAAAAATAAATAAATAAACACCATTGTAAAATCAATACATTGCTCGCTCCACTCAGAATCCAAAAACTCTTGTATTCTTTTTTTCAAACATGCATTTCACATTGAAAAAGAAATTGTATAAAAACAAAACAAAAAACAATAAAAATAATTGTTTTGTAACCAAGAATTACACTAATCGCTTCGTAATTACATTTACGTACAATACTTTTTTCAATTAGTTTTTTGTTCCCCCTGGATTTCCTGGCAACGAATTCAGTCACTATACCGGAATAATCCACGTTTCGAAGAAGTTGACTTTCTATATTTAATAGAGATCAATGTGATGTCGTTGTAGATCTCGCACAATCGTAGAACACGATCAGACGGAACCGACAAGAACAATCATTCTTACGGTGTCCGCATAGGCGACCGGCGGCCGCAGACTTCGAACGCCGTCCGCGAAAACCGCGACCCCACTGAGATTCAACGGAATTACGGGTTCCCGTTGTTCGTTTTTTAACGGGGGAAGGCGAATATTCGCGCCGTTCACGCGATTTAAAACTGCGGCGCCCCCAGGCCCGCTTGGCGTGTCCGCCGATCAGCCCCTGCCCGCGTACGATATCCGCGATATCGGCCGGACCGTCGGCGCACTATTATCGCGCGAGTTACGCGAGTTACGCGTGATGTTCCGTCCGGCCCGCCGCAGTCATCGCCGTAGATTTGATCGGTGATATTAACGTGTGTCGCGCCCACGAACTTACACTACTCGTGTGTCGCCGACGCGGTTTTATCGTTATCGATTCCACCGACGTCGAAAAAAAAAAAAAAAACAGAAAAAAAGAACAGAAGAAGCAGCGTTATCGTTCGTGCGGCGGCGTACGAACAGCGTTCCGCTACACTCTCCCTCCCTGCCCCCCACTCTATACGTAGTTTAAAAGCGGAATATACGACGACGACGGGTAGTTGTCGCGGAAATTAAAAACGTTAACACCGAAACGTATTCAATCTAAAACTCCGTCCGGGTGCGAGGAATTTCCGAAAATCAAAAGTGTTTAAGCGCGATTTCACCCCCGAAAATAAGCGTGACAAGAAAAAAAAAAAAACCAACGACAATGCAACAAATTAAAGCTGATTCTATTTGAAATTATTTTCCAAAAAACAAAAAGCATTTTCGAAAAAAGTTAATACTTTCCGAGATAATGACTTTTTATTATTATTTTTTTTTTTTATCGAGAATCGATTACTTCGCATAAATATAGAGCTTTTTTTCTTCTACACTTTTGAACACTTTTAACGGCTCTCTTTACACCAAAGAGCACGAACTCGATAATTAGATTTGTTTTATAGAGTGATTGAAGTGATAGTACACTGTAGTGCATAGTATATTATTATAGTTGTTGTTTAATGTTTGACAAAGAAAATGTCTATAATACGAAATAGACGAGGGAAAACTCTAATAACTGAGCGGCGTTTTCATGGTGTTTGTTTTTTTTTTCTGTTAACTAACCATTTAAACGTGATAGTCAAACGCAAGTATGTATACAAGGTGTCCCACGAGGATTCGATAAATGCAATAACTTTTGTTCTGTTCAATATTTTCGATATCATTTTTTTTTTTAAATAATAACTATACCTCAGCGCTACAGTTTATACATGGACATTTTTTTTTTTTTTAATCATAATACTATTGTTTATCAACATAAATTACTATTATTGATCGATCGAAACTACTTAATAACTATAATGTGATATTAACTCATGGAAAATAAATCCTAACTAATAACTGATAACCGAATAGCCACAATAGATAACATTCCCATTTGCAAAAAAACTCAAAAAGTCGTAGAAAATAAAAGACCATATTTTAACAAAAGTTCGACAAGTATTTTACGGTGAATCAAATATTCGTCGATTGTCCGATCTAAACATGTTTAGTAATACCTTATTGTTCACCACACGTAACTAACTATTTACTACAATAAATTATCCGTTTTTACCCTATCTAATATTGTTAATATAACAATAAATTGAAAAAAAAAAAAAATTAATTTCACGAAAATCGATTATCAACAAGTGCGCTTTAGAACAAGCCGCCCCGTTACCGGAAAAAAAACTGGCGAAACATCGCACTAAAAACCTCAGGTCAAATACGTATCGTTTTTAAACGTACCGTTCGCTGGCAAACGAACCGTACGGAACCCGTGTTTCGGCCCCGTTTAATACGTTTTTATTCATTTGTGAAACGAATGTCCGGGCGTCAGCGGTATGCCCGAACGCGGTTGGTCACAACTAAGGTTCGTGCCCGGGCAAAAGCCGAACGGTGACGTTTCGTCCAAGTACCGCGGACAAGTCTCGCGGTTTATTTGCCCGGGCGAATTGAACGAAAATTCAATTATACACGAATTGGGAATTTCCCGGTGCGTTACCAATGTGGATTGTCTGCGAATCGCAATATTATTAATTCGAATGTTTCGCGACCGTAGGAATCCGGGGACGCCGCGATCGTTCGGATAGAAAAAAATACGTCGGCGACGCCCGTCCGCGCCGCAACAGACGATGTCGCTGTTTAAAGCCCGAGACTGTTGGTCGACCGCTTGCGGCCGGGGCGAAACGTTCGGGTGCGACGCCCTGACGGTGGACGACCTGTTCGGCGCGGGCGAAGACAACGTCATCCTGGGCAGTTTGGACGGCGTGCTCCGGGTGTACGGGGTACACGCGGCCCAGCCGCCCGACATGTGTTACTCGCCGTCCGATTTGCTGGTCGAGGCGCAAACGGAAAGCCCCATCCTGCAGACGGGCACCGGAAAACTCGTCAGGTCAGTGGTCTTCAATAATAAACGCAATAACAACAATAATAATGATAAGGAAGGGATGAACGCACTGTTTGTGGGCGAGTCGCTGGCCCACTGGTTGTGGCTGGATAGTCGGCAAGGTCAGGTTAGGGTTCTTTCGCTGTCGGTCGTCCGTACGTTCGACAAATGTTTCTCACGCGTTTTGATTAACATGTAAAAAAATATTAACGTCTGTCGCCGGGCGTTCGCCTCGTCCTTTCTTTTTTCTACACTTTAAGCGTAAACCAATTATTGCGGCGCGCGAATTATGATTTTAAATTTGAATCCGACAACATTACCGCCGCCCCGAAAAGCGTCCACGGAGTTTAAATTTATACGCTCGATCGCTGTTTTCAGAGTTCCTAAAAAGACGTCCCTTTAAACTACTACAAAATTAAAAAAAAAAAAAAAAAAATTATCGCTTTAAAGAATTGTATAAATTGCGTTTTTACGCTCAAGTATATTACTTTGAATTCTCTGGTAGGATTTATACAAAAGTAATTACATATTAGTCAAGTATTTTCTAAAAAAAAAATATAGTAGCATAATACAGTTATATAAAAATATCTAAGATTTCAAATTACTACAAAATGTCTATAAATACTTTTTCTAAATTTAAGTAATGGATCAACACGAACATCAAATTACTGTAGACATTGCATTCCATTACATTGGATCTAGGGAACGGTGTATTGGAAATACTTTGCTTAAATAAAATGTTTTTACATTTTCAATGATAGTCAATTTATCCCCATCTCCAATAGTAGTTGGTCGGTACAATAGACCGCGTCTACAGGCGTGTTAACGGTGCCGAGCGAAAAGTTTTCAAACCACAATATGTGCTAAACCGGCTCAAAGTATCGCCTTGCCAAATCAAATTAGCAAGTTAACCTGTTTAGACGTAGCTGACCCAAAATAACATAGTCTATTCGGCGTTTTTAGTTGAAAACTCCAGAGCAGAACATGTTTGTTTTGTCAAAAAAAAAAAAGAAAAAAAAAAGAAAGACGGACATACTTCGCACATGGCTGGGCCAGGGCCAGATTGGTTAGGCGAGCTACCGAGAAAATATCGGTGGGCCGTTTAAGGTTTGGGCCGGACGCGATGTGAATGTGGGTGAAAATAAATGCATGTTTGAAAAAGCTAGCATGGGATAATTAGGACGGGTGCAGCCACTGTTGTTGGCGGGAAGTTGGGAGCGTAGGATACAGAAGGGAATTTAATGTGTATTTCGTAAGCAATGGTTTATCGTTGCTTACGAAAACAACGATTCTGAGCGAAGTTCAGTTGATAGTGATGCTTTGTTAACAATAAATAATATGGCATAAAATGCCGTAATATATTTGTTTTAACATAACTACATTTCGCACATTTACAGTTTTTCTTCCGTTTTTTCGGCTTTTCACATTTGACGAGAAAACGCCTGAGAAAATCGGAAAATGACCTCTTTAAAGTATCTTCCTAACAAAATTTCCTTTCAGAAAAAGTGCTACACTTGATACTTCGGAGCCAATTCTGGTAGAATTTTTGTATACAGTAAAATAAACACCTTTGTAAAACCAATAAATTCTTCACCACATTCAAAATCTAAAAATTTTAAAAATGTTTACGATTGTTGCGTAAAGAATATTAATTTGCATATACCTATGAATTTTCTGGATTTTACCTATGGCGATGACTGTTGTCGTTAAAAAAATACGTTTTATTTTCAACGCGTTATATTATTAAAGCGATTAAATTATTACATGTACGCACAGTGTTACGATGATGAATTATTTACAGTGTTATAATGTTTTTTCGTAAATTTGTTTTCACTTTCTGCAGCGTATGCCGCAAAGGCGAATGATAAAATTAATAAAAAAAATATATATTTATATTATCATTATATCTCGCGTAAAATATACGGCCGTTTTCAATTCCCTGGTGAGGAGTGATCGACTCGGTATACATAATATTATTATGACGTTAACGAGTATAGTATTATTGTTATTATATTTTCGACAATTTCGTGCAATGCCGTTGCAATATAGAGTTTTATGATGGATTTCGTCTCAAAGGATAGACACATCGCTGTAAACGGTTAAAATAATAAACAAATAAAATAAACTTCTTAATGCGCATTATGTAATATGTACTTCGTTATTCGTTGTTTCCATTTTAGAAGTAAGAGCGAGTAATAATATTATTTAATTTTCGTTTGTTATTTTGATGTGTTGCTATAGTTGCTCGTCAAACAAGTACATCGCGGTTCTTCATCCGTTTTCAATTGTTGTGTACGGAGTGAATTGTATCGCCGGATCTACAGACCACGGTAAAAAATCGCAATTTTATAATTTTATATTATATTTAAACAAATGTATTGCTCATATAATGCCATACGAAATAATAATAATAAAAAATAGAACATCCCAAAAGAAAACGATATACTTAGTTTAAATGATTTACAGGCAATGATGTACTTTGGTGATGTAACCTGAAGGGTAGGTAGGTAACTATTTAGTGTATTCAGTATTTACCTACACTTATATTTACCTATCCGAAATTCGGGTGAATATTTTTGTTTTCTATTTGGCCATTAATCATGCATCTATGAATGGCTGCAATCATAGGGGGTATAACAAAACAATACGATCTCAATAATTTATTAAATTGTAATCTTCAGTTGGAAAAATAAAGACTAATTGTTATGTTTTAGTTAAAAAGATTTAAAAAGATTAAACGAGACTGGTTAGTAATGTTTAATTGAAAATTGAAAACTGATTATTGTGCATGTCCATTTATCTAGTAGGTATCAAGTACTAATGTACGACTCTATACATATAAAAAAAAACAACGAGTTTTAATATAAAATTCGTTGCTGTTGATGCGTATTATATTCAAAATAAATTTACCCAGTTTACCCGAATAAATATTTGCCGTGTTTATTTACCCAACACTATTTGCGGGGGTTTTCGCCAAAATTGCCAACCTGTATACGTTTTTAACAAAATGTTATCAGGGAAATGTTGGTGGATTATACGAGGTATGACCAAAAAGTTCCAGGATTGTTTGACTGTTGCATACTTCAATAGAACATTGGACAGTGATACGGTTTTGAAATCACTGGTTTTCTGTAACTTTTTCTGATAGTAACTCCGTTTTCGTAAATTCTATAACCAACCTTCTTTGTTTTGATGTAACAGATGATGTTTTTGCATAAATATTTTCTTAGTTGTTCGACGATTTTGTATTATAATGCATACCATAAAAAGCATTTTAGCAAGTCCGAATTAAGCCATTTAGAGGCCCCGGGGGACAAACTTTACGACCAGGCTCTCGTTGAAAAACTTATAGTGAAAATAATAAAATGTTTACTAATCAATATGTTTTAACGAAAGAAAAATAATAAATAGTATAGTTCATCATATAGATCTCAATTCCAAAGCCACAAGTGTTATTATTTATTCTACTAATAAATAGATTGTTTTTAACAAAGTTACTAGTAGTTTCTAATATATAGAATACTACGAATCATAACACGGAGTCATTATCAGGCAACGAAAGAACATTAAAATATCAAAGTACGAAGTTAATGGTTAAATGCATACATAAAGAACATATTACTGTGACGAAAATTGAGGTCCTGTGAGTCTGGTGGCCCGGGAGCCATGGCCCTATCTGGACCACTTTTCTTAATCCGGGTTTGGATTACAGATGTGTGGGGTTGGTAATGATTTTGTCTTCCGTTTTGATGATTGGACATTTGTCCAGAAACTTTTTGAGCACCCCTATTGTGTGTTGGCGTTTCTTTCGCTGATATTATTTATTTTTATATTTAGATTCTCGTTTATAAAACGCATTTCACGGTCTTTTATCCGCATAATTTAATGCTCTTATAAACATGCACAGTATAACTTAACGTCATGTGCCCTAGACAAATTGGTAATTCTATGGTTACATATTGATAATATTATTATATTATATTACATAGAAAATATACATCACAAATTTACGACGAGAATTATATACATAAAAACGTTTGGAACGCCAATAAACGATGTAATATAAAATTATTAGGTTTACATAATTCATTTCTGTAGTAGCGCTTAAGATATACATAAATATTTATGTGAATATAATAATAATATTATTGTTATCATTTGCATAAAAAAAAAAAAAAAAACATTTTCTCTCGACAAAATAACGAAGGTAAAAAACGATAAAAGATGCGTTGACCCAAGGAATTATTATTTTTCCCGTGTAAATAAATTCTCAAAAGGTAGCTTAGGTAGGTATCGTAATATGCGATTTTAGATAAATATTAATAATTTTACGTGTACGAAAAACGGCAAAGACATTTTATTATGCCATTTTTTTATTCCGATAAAAAACTTCGAGTGCTTATTCACTTTAAGTTAAACATTGTAAAAATGTTGCCTGACAATATTATGTACCTCAGCAATATTAATTAGTATTTTTGTGATTTTTGCAATACTCGTGCAATATTAGTGCAATACTCGAACTTCAAGCCAATCAGATCCTACGCCCATATTTCTCCACCAAAAAAAATAAATACTATTTTAGATTAAAAATATACGATTTCCTATTTTTATTAATATAATAAATTACTAGTTAAGACGGTCAATTTTACCTGTTGTAGGTGATCAGAATTCTCCCACGGAACCTCTACCTGTCGTAAGAGGCGATAAATGGGATTGTACGAGGATGACAGGCGGTGTAAAATTTTGTCAAATAGTATGAGGAGTTCTAAACAAGACTTTGGTATATATACTATCGCATTTTTGATGTGCGCCGGGACAATGGATGAGAGGAGTTATCATGGTGCACGGTGTTTCGCAGATACATCTGTGATAGGAAAAAATCTGGAATAAGTTAATAATAGGCTTGAAGTATGGACAGTAGCACTTGAAGGAATGAGACTAGGGACAAGTAAAAGTAAACCCGAGTATGAGTTTGGAAGAATATCATAAAACAGCTAACGATAATAAGCAGTTATAAGCGAGGTTGAGAGTTTTAATAACTTAAGAACTTTTATACAAAAGAACGATGGCTTTTATGAGTATGTGAAACATTGGATTACTTGTGGTCGGATATGTCGTGACGATTGAATTTTTTTGAACAGAACACAGTTTAGCGCTGAGTTCGGTTTTTCCCCGAATGAATGTGAATATTTTAAACTTTTTTTGGTTTTTAACCGAACAAACAAATAAACGCAGAGGAGGCTTGGACATGATAAATCGGATTGACGAAATTTCACGATCTGTAAGTTCACGTAAAATTTTAAACTCGAATGATTCGATAATCGATAATTCTGTATCCTAAAATTATAAAAAGCAAATAAAAATTATAACCAATAAAATAACATTGTTCCCAACCTTATAGATTATAATATTACCTGAGATCTTATTTGTATATTTATTGTGACTTATGAGTATTGTTTTTTTTTTCTATGAAAAACGAAATTAGTGTAGTATTAAGTTAAAACTAAATTTTCACGGGATGGATATTGTGTTTTACTATTTGAAACGCGTCTCGAGTCGCCTCTCGTAATAATATTTCAAAAAAAAACAAAACAAAAAAACAAAAGAATAAAGCGTTTTTCCCATTTTGTTTGTCCGCAGGTGACCAGTACGTACTGGAAACGATGTACGAACACAAATTCGAGCGGAGCGCCTACCAGATGATCGTGGGCCCGTTCGGCGGCGGTTCGGGCAGCAGAGATTTCGTGTGCGTCACTTCGCTGGACGGCACCGTCGTGGTGTACGAGCAACAGACGTTAGGGTTCCACGCGGCGTGGCCCAACTACCTGCACCCGTTCCCCGTGAAATACGTCCTGTCCTCGGACGCGTTCGTCACGGTTAACGCCGACCTGTGCATAGTCTGTTACAAGTGAGAGGCGTGTTTTGTACGGTACCTAAACCCCCCGGAAAAATTTGCCGTGTTCAGGCATAGATAATAACTCTGTGTGCTTATGTCACACAGAGACATGCAGTAGTGTAGGACACATAGGGACAGCGTACTAAAATTAAGTTACATATGATATTAAATTACACTTTTAATGAAAACAAGTTTTATGTAAATACAATTTAAAATATTTATAAATTTTACAAAGAAAAACAAATTTCAAAATTACTACTAATATAAAGTACTAATTTCTATTGCATAGCATATTTTTAATATTTATAGTGCACATACATATATCTAAAAGTTTTCTGCCGGACATATTAATATATGCCCTAGTTGTAAAGCTACAACTGTCATGTTGAAAAAAAAAAAAAAAAATGCTGAAAACCATAGGTATATCACAGACATTCGTTGAATATGCACAAAAGTATAACCTTCTATTTTTGATGTCAGTTAAAAAATTAAGTCAATTAAAACCGAATCATTTTTATTTTATTCGTCGGAACGTGGCTAAATAGATTTTAAAACAATAACGTTATTACGAATTCAATATTTTTAAAACGTTTTGAATTCTGAAAACTTTTTCGTTTTTGTACTTTATTATACAAGGTGATCCTTTTATCGCTAACCGGCTATTATAATAATATCCTTTGTGTAAACTTTTGAGTATAAATTTTATTTTGGTTTTTTTGAACCCCATTATAATATAGAATCGATCTGGGTTCACGGTATGCATTCAAAATTTAATAACCACCCTTATACCTTGTATCGTCGTCGATTTTAAACCCAGATTCGAAAACAAAATATAGATACTATCCTATAACCTAGCCAACTTTTTTCTGAAATTGAAATTTGGTACTTTTTATTATTTTAAAGAATGTAATAACCACTACACCAATATATTCATGTAATTATAAAAAATTTGGAAAATAATATACACAAAGTTTTAATTTACATCTGTACACAACGATAAATAATTGCTGACAATAAAAGATTTTGAGCGAAGCTCAGTTACAAATGTTCAAAACATGTCGCGATTTGTATGATTTTCGTCAACGTATAATATATGTAAACGATTACTAAAAAAAAGTACTATAATACGATCAAATTATTTCTTTTATATACAGTTTGTAATGAACTTATACTAAATTGTCAAGCATTTTTATTCAGCCAAACAATTTAATCCACATAATATACACTAGATAAAAACTAAAAAAAACGGACATACTTTGCACGTGGGTGGGCCACTGTTGTAGGTGAGATTTTAGGAAGGTAGTAGACAGGAAATTGAATGTATATCTGTATAAGCAACGATAAACCATCGTTAACGAAAAAACGAAGCGGAGTTCAGTTGATAAAGTTGATTTGTCAATAATATATAAGTCACATTATGGTAAAATAATTACATACATATTATATATTTTCTTTAATTTTAATTCTTTAATTATATTTGTTTAATATTGTATCTATTTTCCTGATTTTTCCCATTCGTTGAGAAAATTAAAAAAACGATATCCTTAGGGTACCTCATCAGACAGATTTTATTATAGAAAGAGTGCTATCATAGTGAATCAGAGCAATATTTCTGTTAAAAAGTTGTTTACAGATAAAAAATAAATAAATAAACATCATTGAAAAAAACAAAAGCTTCGTAAATATTGAGTATCTATAAATAGCTCAACAATTTCCAGAATAATTTAAACATTTTACCAATTTCACGATTATTTTAATCGAATTACAAAAAAACAAAATTGATGAGAATAAAACCGGCAATGCCAAACATTTTCCCGGTTTTTCATAAATTCTTATCCAGTTATTTCCACTTATTAAAATAGTTACCTACACAAAAAATCAAAAAATGAATTTTTTTATACAATTAGTCTCTGCGTATATTTATAACTGAATTACAGCAAATAAATTCACAAAAATTAAAAATCTTTTAAATCTCAAAAATACCTCAAAAGTCGTGGCGATGATACCGTAAGAAATTAAATCAAAAAGACAACAAAATATGTGTCTAGTGATATTTCGTTTAAATCATTTTTTCTGGTAGAAAACGTTTTTCGTGTTTTTCTAAAATAATGAAATCGTGAAATTTTACGTTTTTTCCCACCTAATTGCTTTTATTTAAAAAAAATGACGTTGAAAATCAAAAAAATGACTTTTTTAAAGTACACAATTTAAACAACTTGAGCTATCAAGAAAAGTTGCTGCACGTAAAAATCGGAGCAAGTTTACTCAGGAAAAATGTGTCCACAGACTAGAAGAAGAAAAAAAATAAATAAACATCTTAGTAAAACCAATAGCTCCCCCGCCACGCTCGGAATCTAAAAAAAAAAAAAAAAACACACATTATAGTAAAACTAACACGTCAGTTTTCGCTACGCTCAAAGTCTAAAATGGTTCGAAATCGGGACACGGTTTTCAAAAATTTTGATAATATCCTCCCAAAATGTCCGTCCATTTTACGTCTGGTGCCCACAGGTACTGTAGTTTATAGGTATTGAATTATACAACAGTTATCGGTCGGTACTGTATGTTTAGTATTTTGATCCGGTGATAATATTATAATATTCCCGTTGCAAATTTGGATTTACGAATTATACGAGAATTAATAATAATAGATTATAATTATTATAATTATACTAGGAAGTCACGGATGGCAATATGCTGCATGTGCGGTATTATTTATGTAAATGTAAAGGATATTATGCAATATGTGTCTCTGAAGGGTGGAACGCAATACACGTTTCAAATAGACTTCTCCTCCCTCCCCCCGTCGTCGATAACTGGCCGTCCTGATAAGTTCGTTCGAGGTGGGGGGGGGTGGGGGAGATACAAAATTAAATTCCGGAAAAATCCAAAAAAAATCACGGTACATATTATTAATTTTCATTCGGACGAATTTTCGCGAACGAAAAATCTCGTTTCCTATCTCGTTTCCTAAAAATCTAATCCTATTAATCCACTGTTTAGATAAATACTCGACGTTTCGTTCGAGGTATAGACGTCGAGATTTCAAATCGAATAAAAAAGAGTTCGCGTATATTAAACTCGGTTCCGAGATTTGTTTTATAATAATATTCTGTGCGAAACGAGGAACGTGTTTGTCTTACTATAATGTGATGTCATTGTTTTTTTTTTTTTTTTTTCTGTAAACGAGTTTTTGACATGTAAAATGTTTATGCACTCTTATTGCTCTGGCAATCAATTTAAGGGGTGTATTCAGGCAATATATTTTCTCGAGTCGATGTAATGGAAAGGTCATTTTTTGATTATCCTTGTAATTTTAAACTAACTTTTCTGTACGTTTTAAGGGTTAATTAACATTGGCGAATTTTAATTAGCTATATTATAGAGACGTATGCACATTCAAACGCACTCCAATAAATAATAAAATATTAAACGATTGTTGTGACGTATAATGTACGTGCAGTGTACTTGTATTATGTCTAATACATTTGAAATAAGTGTATATTTTTTAATGAAAAAAAATAGTTAATATACCGCTCCCGCGTAAGCCACTGTTATGAGTGGGTAGGTAGTTGGAAAAGTAACGTATTTTTTTTTATCGCATAATACATTGGTATTTACACGTTAATTGAGATAATATGTGTAGGAGGTGAACTCGTCCGAGGTATTATTCCACGCGGTAAAAATACAGTACAGTCGACTCTCGATAATTGAAACCTTCGGTCCCGAAAAAATCTCACAGTGGTTCGAACGGAAACAGTACACTCGGCAATTGATAGGAAAATTTTGTGGAAAACCAGCCGCCAACGCGCGACAATAGTAATTAGAAGTTTCGTCCGTTCAACGCTCGGCAATTCGAAGTGTATTCACCAAATGTACGTATTTCTTTATATCCCATCGTTAATAATTTACCATAAAAATTGTGTGTACATTTATTGCTCATTATTTCCGAATTATTATCATAGGTACGAATACATAATATTATACATTGTATATGTGTGCTATACATTATATGTATAGTCACAATGCGTTCAATGCATTATACAATTTTTAAAAAACGATGAACAGTTGTAATACGGTCAAATTTGACGAAACATTTAATAGTTATAAACGATTTTTTTCTTAACTCGGTAATTTAAATTGATTTTTTCCAAACTTCACCAACTTCGAATTACCGAGAGTCGACTGTGATAAAAAATTATTTAACCTTATAATATTTTAAGAACAAATATAGTCAATAGTCGTGTGTGTTTTTGTGCGTAAAATATAATACCATAAGTATTATTTTCAAGTTTATATGATATTATACGATTATTACATTATTAAAGTACTTGTTTTTTTTTTATGTTTATCAATCATTTTCAGTTAATTATTCTCGTATTTTATTCAATTTTNCTAGGTACCTGCATAAAATGTTTTAATATTATTATTTATTTTGAATTTGTATTTTCATCGTCACGAATTATATTATTATGGGCGTTTTGCAATAAAATCATTGTACGTCCTTTTTCGATTTTTCTTAAATAGCGTCGATCATTCGACATATTATATTAATAGAGTTTTAATCGACACAACCATAACATTAAAACATCTATCCGGGGAAATTGATTATGCATTTTTTTTCCTGCAAATAGTCGACTATAGATTTATTTTTCGTTATTATAAACATTTTGTTGCGTACGATTCGTCGGTATTTCGTGGAACACATCTGACTTCTAAATAATGCTCTTTGACTGATACTTTAGAATGCTGCAACGCGTTCTCGATGTTTACGAATAATGATAAACCGCTTAAGAGGACGCCTAACGTATAGAATTCGACATCTCTGTCGATGGCAATATCATCAATGATGTCGATATCTATGTCAATGTCAGTATTAGTACAGTTTTTCGAATGAAATCTTAATCTGCTATTTCTGTATTATGATTTTTTCGAATTCCTTTAAACAAAATGAAAATAAAATCGAATTGAAAGAAAAACCAATTGAAAAAACCGTCCTATCATAAACATTTAGCACAATTTACAATGTTTATTTCGGCACCAATATCAAGTTTATACAAGGAACGAGGCTCGAGCGACTCGGTACTATTATATTATTGAAAGTACATAAACACAGTTCGTGTCCGTTGATAGACAGAAACAACATTTCGACGTTCGGCGTCCTCTGAAGTCGTAAACATATTTTTTTTTTGTTTTGTGTTTTTTTTTTTTTAGATACCAGGAACTAGCAAATTCAAGTCAAAAGCAAAAATGGCCCGTCTGGTCGAGTAATTTGGGCGAAATCGTGTACGACATTCAGACGGCACAACCACAACCGACTGCGACTACAATTCACGTGATCGGCGAACGAAATTACTACTGTTTTCGATGCGACGGCGTATTGTGGTTTATGAAACGGCTCCAGTACGCTCCTTGTTGTTTTTACCCTTATATTTTGGGTAAGTACCTACCTATATACAGGTAAGAGAAATCTTTTACCGACTATAGGAAATGTTATAATATTATTATACTCGTATAGGTATATTATTAATAGCAATTTAATATTCTCCACCGTCTAAAATTATTTCATCGCTCCGTTCGAGATTCATTACCGCCGATTCCATACCGATTTTTGAAACCGCGCGTTTATTAGCGCAAGGTCATCTTATATTACTTATAATTCGTCCGATTTCAAAGATAAAGAATAGTTTGAAATTATCACGGTCGAAATAAAATTATTACGGACCGTATACGGACCAAATTTTAATTTAAAGACACAAAATGAGAAAAAAATAAATGATAGATGAAATACTGAACATTTTTTTTTTTTTATGATATTTGACATCTGTTTCGATTGATGATTATTGTCGATAAGCGTTTCTGATAAGTGTTATTTCGTGTTGTCATCACCGTGTAAAACTACACAAACTCGATACATCTCGTTGTGAGAAGACTGAAACTACTCGCCACGATTCTGTGGTTGACAACTTGAATTTTTTTCCAATTGTATGTTGTTTAAGATAAACAAATCTATCAAAAAACACCCCGAAATTTGGAGATCCGGGACTCGGGACCGGATATATAGTCGTGGTTATAAGAGGTTTAGAAATGATAAACTGGAACAGTGAACACATAATCAAAGGAACAGTGTTTGTGATAGTAACGCTTGTCCTGATCGATGGACCGTTAAGCTGATGAAGTTGAAGAGTATAGATTTTTTTTTTTGTCCACAGGTGAACATCCTGACACTAAGGTCATGTGCATGATCGTATCCGATACCGACACGGTTTTACTGTACGATCAGACGAAACTTCGATGGTCCGCCAAATTGCCCTACCGTCCGTGTATTATCGCCAGAGCTTCGTTTAAAGTACGACGTTTTTTTCATTTTCGTAAAATCTATAATCCTGATTATTATTATCACGATTTTTATTATTTATCGACGGACGTCGCAGGCGTTGCAAGGTTGTCTGGTATTGTTGTCGGAAACGGGCGATTTGCAATTCTGTTATCTGGGCACCGAACCCGCGATATTTATGGCTCCTGAAAGGCCCAAGACCAAAGACTATAATGACAACAAGAACCAATTGATTCAGTTGAAGAAAGACTTACAAAATATATCCTTCAACGACGGTGATTATATTATAATCGTACACACAATAATTATATTACTATATTTAGTGTACAAAACAACCGTTTAAAATATCGTATTACCAAAAAAAAAAAAAAATTATTATCGTTTTCAGGTATTTAAATTACAACGATCTTCTGAAATTATGTCTTTCTATATCAATGTGCTGTCCCGGTTTATAGTTTCCGTTTTTTCGGCTAACAATTACGTATTCTGTTTTGTCATCGTTAACAATTATCAATTACCTGTAGGCCATTTTTCTAATGGATGGGACAAACTAGTGCAGTACTCCAGTCCACTGGACTGAATCTTTCCTCAGACTGTATTGTACTTTCTATAACGCTAGGTATTCTATTTTTGGTTGCATCCAAAAACCGCACACATATGGTTTCCATCCCAAAAATGTCGGTAGACAAAAACCGCACACTCCATCGGTTGACAAGTAGATTAGGTTAGGTTAGGTACATTGTTTACCTAAATACCGCACACCTACAGTGGGGTAAAACTGTACGCTAATTATAAAATATATTATTATATAAAAATAATTATATGATATTTTGTTATATGAAAATATTGTCCATCCAATTGAAAAACAAAAACAAGTTAGTTAATGGGCACATTTTAATTTTAATATTATATTTCAATACATCATTTTATATTATGTTGTGTTTAATTTTAGAAACACTTGTTTAAATGTTGGGAAGAATTTTCGAAGGGTTGACATCGTTTAAAATTTCTAAAAAACATTCGTACTAATAATTATATAAATATTTTCAATTTTTTAAAAAAACATCGGCTTTTCGCTTAAAATTTTGATAATTTTTTTAGTTGATTTTATATTAATATCGAACAACACTAATTAAGATACAATTATATTTTTTGATTAATTATTAATAAATAATAGATAATTCATCATTTTAAAATGTGCGATTTTTGGATATAAAAATTCATCGCTATTTATTAGATCCTAGTCCATGGTTTTCTTTTATTTAATTTCTGATATTTTACCTGAAAATATTTAAGTAATAATAACATTTGGAAAAGAGTAATAAAACGTTAGAAAGCACATCGCGAAAACACTTTCGGAAATCATTCTATTTACATTTTTCAAACGTTTACAAGACATTATAATGTAATCAAATACTAATATTGTTTTTATTTTATTTATCAGTGGCTTATATATTTATGTTTTAATTTGTATCTTGTTTTTATTCAAACAAATCCACGTAAAGGAACTATTGAAAGTATATTTATATATTTCATATTTCAAATTTAATTAAACAAAGAAATGTTATATTAAAGAAAATAATATGAATTTCCGCTGTACCACATAACGAAACTTTTTTATTTTGTTTTCTATAAAACCTGTATTTAGAAACATTATTGAATATACAAAAAGTAATAGTAAAAAAAAGTTAAATAAAGAAATAAAAGTTATAAGTGTGTTGAATATTTTTACACGAACGCGTTGATCGGAATATTGATAATAATAATAACAATTTATTCAAATCAATAAATAAGGCCAAAGCCCAAAAGTGCACATTAACTTGGATGAAAAAAATAATGAAATAGGCCTAAATGGTGAAGATGTGGCGAAAAAATTTCCATTCGGGTCGCACGAGTACGTACTAATAACGCACTGATTTTTGAAAAAAGAAAAATGTAGAAAAACCGGGTTTTCACCCTAGAAAGGGGTGGGAGCTGGAGAAATGTAAAAAATCGTTGAACGGATAATTGAAGTTTGAGTCATATGAATCACGCACTAATTAATGGAAAAAAACAACGATTTTACAACTCGGGAGGAGGGGGCTGATGAAATGCACGCAGTGTAATTTAGGCCTATAAGGCTTCAATTTCATTATTACATCTTCACTCATAAGCTGTCATCCATTATTTTATTACTTATGGATACAACGCACAATAGAAGAGTTTCACTTTCGCGTATCAATCTGTCTGTGTTTTCCGTCGGTTCTCTTTTGTTAGTAATATTGTACTAGTATTGTACAATCAGTAAGTGACCAGTGGATAAAGTGGGGAAACGAAGAGGGGCGGCGGAGTGGGCGGACTTTAATAGTCTTTAATCTTTAATAGACTTTAATAGACTTTAATAATAATAATAATAGGAGGGGGGGGGTCTTATTTAAGATAAAAATAATAAAAAATAAAATAATAATGAAAAATTCGATTCGCAATCAAACGATTAATCACTTTTTCGACTAATTGTTCATAAAAATATTTGACCGTGAAAAAAAAAATTCGAATAATCATTGATATACAATTGACGAGAAACGTTTTACAATGGATAAACAATTTACACAAAAGGAGATTAACGGAGCCACGGGGCGGTAAATAGGTAAGTAAATATACATTAGCTGTGGTTAATCTCCGTCAAGACGTTATAATTTAGTATATAGGTAGCGGTACTTTCGGAAAGTTTGTTCGGTAAATTTATTCAGACATTCAGAGTTAATTGAATCGGATTTCTCTGGGGCTCTGTTAAAAATAAATAACTTCAAGTTCTCGTCGCGGCCGTGATTACAATAATATAGTTTTGATATCCAAACGAAAACGATTTTTACTTTACAAGCGTTTATAAATATATATTTTAAAATGTCGGTGTAGTTTAAAACGCAGCATATACATTGTTCTCGCTATACGTTGTCAGATAATTTAATTCTTCAATTATTAACGAATCCCCTAATTAAAAACAAATAAATAAAATGTCCATTATCGTAAATATATTTATATTATAACATTAAGAATTAAAATACAATCTCTCGTTTTAATCAGAAAATAAAATGTGCCTATTTTAGACTCTGAGCGAAACTAAGAACGTATTGGTTTAAACAAATTTTTTACCATAAATCTCGCTCCGATAATCTGCTACTTCGCGGTTGGTTTCTGGTAACAGAATGTTGATGCATTTAAAAGGTTATTTTTTAGTTTTCCTTGTTATTGTGTTTAACTATTGGGAACAAATCATAAAAAAAAAAAAAAAAAAAAAAAAAAAAAAATGTGCGCAATTACGATTTTTGTTACTTTTGATTTTTTTGTTTTAATCAGTTAAAAATAACCCCGAAACTTGAAATTGTTACCGAATACTGATATATCTGTTCGTAAACGTAGTACAAAAGTTTAAGTGGCTTTTACTGAGCTATTTACATTTGACATATATTTATTTTTTATTTGGTTTTATATCGACAACGTTTTGTTAGCTTATTAAAAATGCTGTAAATGAAAATGATAAGTTGTAATTAGTGATCAGATCAAAAAAAATGTTCAATGATTTTATAATTTTTTTTAAAAAAGGTTTAAAGTTCAAATTTTAACAAACATCACGGTATTTCATAAACATATTTAGTCAAGCTTCGCTCGCGATCAATTTTTCGTTATCAATGATTCTTTGTACTGATACAAATAAAATTATAATCTATCCATCTTGCCTTACCAACTTTTCAATAAAACTGGCTTTAAAACGCCTTACGTTTATTATAAATCCTTTGTTTCCGCACGCCACGGGTTTTCAACGACTAGTTTTATGTTTTTCAGTTTTTACCAAGAAAAATAGCACGCCTGCTACTTTTTTGGAACAGCGTTAGATTTGAACGTGGTGGATTTTGTTTTTATTTTTTCGACATTTGTATTGCTACAGGCCACTGTGGTTGTGCAATTATCTTATTATTTCTCTGGAAACTGTGTAGTACACCGAATCGGAATTTCCCACATACTCGTTTATAGTTTGGACGGCAATGTAAATACTTTTTTTTTTTTTTTCCGGAAGTGTTTTGATCAATGCTATGCAAATAGTAATGCCATAATATATATACTTAAATCAATGTTTTATTTTAAACGATTTTTGTCGAACTCTGTCGTTTTATACAATAAGCATATTAATTTTGATTGTTTTGTTTCAAGAGACCGACGCCCCGCCGTTATTGAAATTGACTTCACGCGTATTGAACGTTCGTTCGGAGGACTCGCGAAAACTTTGCGACATCGAAATCGACGTAACGCCGTCCCTGGCCACGTCTACAGTGCAAATTTCATTCCTAGTGGTCGCTCCGCTCGCCGTTTCGCCCACGGTCATCCATCTGAAAGACTTGAGTGTGTATACTATATTTGTTGACGTGTATTGACGTATTTACAAGTCATAAATATCATAAACGTTAAAAATCGGAACTGCTACGCCATAATACTATAATGTCTGTACATATTTCACAAATAATCAAACGACGGTAACGGAAAATGCACAATATATTATCATTATCAAATAAATATACGATGCGTATTACATTCGTTACGTACCTTTACCGTTAGATCAGAACGTTTGACTGACGAAATCCGTATACGAAAAAAAAATTATATCCGTTCACGTTTGACGGGGTGTAAGTGAAAATAAATCGTAATATATTTGCGTAAATATTGCAAATAATACAAAATATTATATTTGATATAATATTCGCATTCGATTGGTATTAAAACGTTTTCAATCATATCCGTTAGCACGATATCGTCCGGAATAATATAACATTTCGAGACTATCATCTCTGAACTGCTTTAACTGTTTGTTGCTTGAATTGTTTCAAGTAAGTATACCCTGCCGAGCGGTTCGATCGGTTAAGTTTTAAATTTCACAAAAACTATATTATTCACTTAATATACAGCGCGTGATCAATCCTCGATAATACACGTTCATTATCTAGGAATGTGTTTACTTTTTTGGGAATTTTTTTTTTTTGACAATTTAAGAAATAATATGCTTTAAAATGTTACGCCGCCACTGTTTTTTGTCACCCTTATTTCTGGGGGGGGGGGTGAAATCATTACCCAATTTCGATTTTAAAATTCCATTAAAAATAAAATTCTAGTTGAAATATATTTTGGATTTTCAATTAGACGTATTCAATTCCCGTCAACGCGTTGACGAAATATTCTACTTATAAGTCGGGATAGTGGGAGAGGAGTAGCGGAGCACTATTCAAACGGCTCGTACCGCGCCATGACATATATGAAAAACAAAAAACGGAAATGTATAATTCTCTAGAGCTGCTACTTTTTTCAATTGTAAAAATAAAATAAAAATCCGAATAAAGTATTAATTTCCGAGGCAATGAGTGTCTTATCGAAGATTGATCACTCTGTATAATAAATTATTAACAACTATCGTTTTTAGTAAACACCGATTATTTTCTCTTTGGGAAATAATTTTAGACACATACAATTCTCAAGTTTAATATCATACATTATTTCTCCTCCCTTCTTTTGTTTTTCACGATAAATCTACAACCACGAATTTAGATTTTTAAACGACAAATACGCTTAATAATTTATATTTAACATCAATTATTTAAAAAAAAATTAACGGTGTTTTTGTTCGAGATTTTCCTAATATATAATATGAAGGTTCGTGGAAAGATGGGTACCTATAATAATCCATTTTTCCAATTATGAGATAATCGTATTGGTTACCAATCGACGGTACTTTCAGATAATATACGAGCGTTAAATACCATTTGATGGAAAAAGTTTCTGGTGGATGATATTGAACGAAAAGGATTGGACGTACTGCTTAAAAAATAATATGATCCATCGAGCAGCTGTAAAGGAGTTTTGCACAATTAAACAATTTTTTTAAAAAATTAGTAGTCTATTTTTTTAAAAAAATAGACTACTACTACTTCCCCTGTATCCTTCGTAATTCACACGTATTTTTTTTCAACCGTTACACTGGCCGAATGGAATATTTTTCTAATTATTTTACATTGCTGTTATGCGTTGTGTTTGTAGCGGAAACCGTGACAATCCGGGTGATCGGACACAGAGAAAACGACGATTCCGAATCCGTTGTATCTTCGGTGGAGTGCACGATTTGCGCGTATTATTCGAGAAGTTTGGACGTGCCGGGATCGATACAGGAGACGATACGGTTGCCGTTATCGTTGGTTTACGAAGTCCATTCGGTGCCGTCTTCAGACTTCGGTTGGTCCGCAAGAATATCGGTCGGCGAGAGTCCCGTACCACTGAAAACGCTATTTAAAGGTAGATAATATTATAATAAGGTATAGGACATACATTCTCTATGTCACCATGTACGTCAGTCCAGTTAGGGCTTCGAATATCTTCAAAAGTAATTGGAAAGAGCAAGAAACAGAGCGAGCAAAAGTTGTAAAAAGAATAACCAACCTATCCTGGTTTGAAAATAACCTAGTGATCCGTATTCAATATCAGACTTCATTGCTTCATAGTGACAAATTCAGACCACTTAAAATAAAATATTGTCACTTGTGTGTATATACAGGGTGATTTCTTTTAGCTTGAACCAGCAATTATCTCGGAAGATTTTAAGTGATTTAATATATAAATATATTATACATTTCCAATAAATAAATCGATTTTTAATATAGACATCTGTAAACAAATAATAGTTACTTACATAATTAGATAAATAAATAAGCTGTTATTAAACCGATAAAATAATTGAACGCCAAGTGTTTCAGTTTTTTTTTTTTAAATTTTAAATGTTTATACATCAAAGTGATTTCTTCAAATTCCTATTTGGTTACAAAATTCAATGTGTTTAAGAGAATATTATTTTCGATTTCTAAATTGAACCGTATAATATTTACCAAAATAACCATTTGATAAATTATTGCTCTGGTAATTTAATGATCAGTAAATGATCAGTGTTATTATTCAAATATTTATTTCAAGATTGAACTTTTATTTTTTTTCTCTCCGAGCAAAAAATTAAAACCCGATTTTTTTTTACAAAATTTGGAAACCGCCCTATATATATCATCAGTTGTCGAATTACTATGTTGGTGTTCACAAAAATTTGTGATACAATTTGCCATCCATGGGCAAATTATCTCCCTTGATCCTTGTTAAACGTGGTTTTACACCGTGCCTAAAAACGTGCAAATTTTTTATCCGATAGTCCTTCATTTAAATTATTTTTTTAGATTACCAACAGCGTCTATATGGGGGTTCACACTTGAATTTCGGACTTTTTTTTTCTTTTTTTTTGACCTCTGTCTGATTTCCTTGATTACCACCAAGGGAAAATACTAGTTAATCGCACAGCTAATAATTACTATAAATATTGCGTTTTTTCCATTTGAGATTTTTTTATTTTTTTTTTCCACTTGAAATTTATTGTGATGTCTTCAAAAAATGTTCAATAATTTGTATACGAATCATTATGCATTGGACATTAGTCCATCACAACGAATTAAACGCCCGAAAAGCGCTTCAGAATGACTTTTTAAATAGTCTAATGTTTTCGATTAAAATGTACGGTATCGTAGTAGTTGTATAAACAGCAATAATTTATGGAATACGATTACTGCACTATTGATATTGCAATAAACGACGACAAAACGATAAACACCACGCGATAAAAGTGCATAATAAATGTAAGAAAATGTCAAAGACGATAATGGAAAAAGATGAATAAAAGTGTAGCGTCGCGTCGAGGGTTTATTATATTGTTTCGCAAAGTCGACGACGGGATTTCATAACGATATTGTTCGGTTAAAGAAGTCTGTGTTGTATATTACTCCCCCCCCCAAATAATAAAAAACAACAATAATGTATCTAACACATGTATCTAAAGAAAAGGTGGACGTATTTCGAACCATGGGTGAACAACTGTTGGGTAGTTCGGAAAATAGGCGGCATGTAGGATAATTTATTTGATAAGCTGTATGTAAGTCAATACAAACGGAAAACTACTTCGAGTGGAGTAGTACTATATTCGTGTTTTTTCTTTTGTTCCCGAGATAATCCAGAAAACAAAAATAATAAAAAATAAAATCAAACAACGGACCCGGGTGTGAACGTTGACCTGTTTCAATAAATCGTCTCAAATAAATTACCACCGGCCGGAAATTTCGCATCTTCGGATGTATTTTGTGAACAAATCTGTGCATTTTCACTAACCGTGTTTTCCAAGAAAAGAAAACACATTTTCGTAAAACCAATAGCTTCTTTGTTATACTCAGAATCTAAAATTAAATTGCCTACAATCCTTGTGGATAATATTGACATAATGGTTTCGTTGTTATTCGAATGAATACTATACGAATAATATCATGTGGGGCTTGTTAAAAAATCTGGGTACATACCAACCAAAATACCAACCTACTTGAAAAATGTTATACGAGTATACTTATACGTATAATAGGTATGTTAATGTTGTACAATGATGTTTATTATTTTTATTTTTATCTGCGAACAACTTTTCTACCATAAATTTCGCTCCGGTTTTCAAATGTTGCTTTTATTCTAAAAGGAAATCTGACTGGGATGATTCTATAAGAATGCCATTTTTTGATTGTCCCAGCTGTTTTCATAATTAATGGGAAAAACCGGGAAAATATATTCAATATTAAACAAATATTATCAAAGAAAATATTTAATGCATATATAACAATTATTTTACATAATAAAATAATAAAGTAAAAACAAAATGATTAAATGGTTATCAACTCGTAAATAAATATATAAATAAATAAATGCGTCGTCTAGAGTATTATGATATACGTATTGAACTACCGGTTTCAAATTAAAAATGTGTCGTCAGGTAAAATCACAAAAGTAAAAAAAAACGCGACTCCATTTTACCATAATACGACGTATATATTGTTGACAAAGCAACACTATTAACCGAACTCCGCTCAGAATCGTGTTTCGTCAACAATGGTTAACCGTTGCGTGCAGATATATAATAAATTCCCCGTCTATCTTCCCAGTTTCTCACTTACAACACTGGTCCACCCATCATACGAATTTGTACATTTTTTAAAATTTAATTTATCGAACTCGATAATCTATCGAAATTCGATTGCTGCGCAGAACTTGTCGATTCTTCGCCGTCGCTACCAGAACTGTGTTTCCGGACTATTAGCAGTGCAATAAAATACGTCTGGGTTATCGTATCGCCCGCTTTGAATTCCTATGAAATACGATCGACCGGAGCCGAGTATGTGAATGTAATTTTTGAAGAGATTTTGTTCAGGTAAACGTTAAATACTCGAATCATTAATTTGTACATCAATAATAATCCAATTAGAATAATTTTATCCGCAGACATCGGGAATATTACAAAACGAAGAAATGTGTTGTGCGCTGTGACCGAAATGATATTCCCGTGGCGGATTTTTATCGGATTATCGAGGAACACGTAGTGCTCAAAGGAAGACTCGAAAGCGTACAGGTATATTTTATTTTATGTGGGTTTTCAATAATGTGTAATTTTTTTTTTTTTGTCCGTAAACAAGTATTTTAAACTGAAATCTTGCTCCAATCAAAAAACGGCAAATAAATACCGAATTTAATAACAAATGTGTAACCGAATTTAGTCAATAACTATGTATCTTATCTTCTCAACTTCAAACCAACAACAGTGGTATACCCATAATTAGTATCAGCTTTTTATTTTCAAGGCCGAAAAAATTCCGTTTCGTATTCCATTTTATCGTAAACCAAAACGACTTTTTAACGTTACAGACCACATATAGACCCTTTGTTACCAAAACAAATTTCTTCTCTTCTTATTTTCTATTTTACGCATAACCCTTGAATCCCCATTCAAGTTCGGTCACAAATCCACCATATCTCTCTGAACAGTCTAAACTATATCCATCCATCGTTGTTTAAGGCCTTCCGCCCGTCTACGAAGTATTTTTTTAATTCGAGTTGTTTATGAACATAAATGATACCATTATTATTTTATACGGTACATTCGGTTGTCAAGTCTGAACAGTGCGTTTTTTAATAAACCGAGAACGAGCTTTTCCTCAATGCGTATGAGATCAATTTACTTTTGTTTTAGGAAGAAATCGAATCGTTGTCTTCGCAGTACCGAATCGTACAAAAATGCTTATTTAATAAACTAAAAGAAAACACCGTGCATTCGATATCCGGATTGAGCGTATTGATAGACGACACTCATGAAACATTGTCGGAGAAAATGTCAGAAATTCTAATTGTCAAACGAGTGAGTTTCTAAGTCCAACTATCAAGTTATATTTATTATTGTTTTCGTTATTATATTGTTTTGGTTACAGGAATTAAAAGTGAAATTTTCCGATTTGATGTCTCTGGCGAGAGTTTTGGTCACAATGCTCAGACTATGTTCGAATAACGACAAAATTCTCAACGATTTTAAAGAGTGTATTGTTCACTTTACCGATAATCAAGTAAATTATTATGATTTTTTCCTCGTAAACTATATCGCAATATAGTTATTAAAATATCGAATTTTCAATGTTACCGAAATATTATTGTCACGCTATTGTAAATGTATTAAAATCCGAACAGACTGAATTGAATTGGTGAATTTTAATCAAATCGCTTTTTTTTTTTTTTTTTTTATAAATAAATATCGTAGTGACAGTACTTTTTCACATATATTAGAAAATGCTTTTTATTGTAACTGAAATTCGCTTGTTGAAATCATCTCATTGGTATGCGCAGTACATTCTGTGTAACGTTTTCAAATTAAAAGCGTGCGACTCCGAGCAATGATAGTCGAGTAAATTGAAATTAAAATTTATGAAAATGAATTTGATTAGAAATCATTAAAAAATGCGCGTAAAACATTTTGATTATGATACAGTTACTTTAAAATCATATAACAAACGGATAACGTATTTTATTAGGTGTACTGTCGTGAATTAAACAGTTTTTAGTAATTTCTATGCCAAGTAATCAAATTGAAAAATAACTCAAAATGTGGACTTTAAAAGCAATTATACCATTTTATATTTGAACGAATTCGACGAAACCATAACTATGGCGTTTTATGTAAACGGCATAGTTGTTTCTCACACTTTGATCGAAATCTACGCTCTTTTTGTGCATTTTTTTAAAATCTAAAAATGGAAAGAAAAAATATTTACGTGCAATAGAGATCCTTCATTAAAGTCAAATTTACCAAACTTTTATCACTGTCTATATAAAAAAAAAAAACTCTCAAGTCACGAGTTTAGTTGGCCCATAGGGTGCCACAAGTATGAAGTGTCAAAAAGTAGCGAGAAAAACGATGTACAATACTGCGCAGTAATCTCTACTTTCGGGGAAAAGTCGCCAAAAAAATGTCCTACGAGTTACGACGATATTTCGATACCTCAAATTATTATTTTTTGATTATCGATAATCGTTTGTGTCTGATGTTTAGAACTGGGAAGATATCGTTTTGCAATCGTTGAGTTATATGGTTGGTAATGAAGTCGTGTTAAACGTTCAAAACGACGACCCGGCACACTTAGTAATGAGTTTAAGAACTCTGATCGACAACGTAATACAACGCGTAACGACGACAGGCAAAGACGAATTACCGGTCAAATTGACGAGAGAAAATTCCAGAGGTATGTTATAAAAAAAAAGAAACAAGATTTTATAATATAGGTGAGAGTATATATTATTTGTATGGCTGAACGATATAAAAAAAGTCCATAAAAATGGCTGTATAATAATTATGACAATATTTAAAGTGGAGATTCACACTGGAACATAATTATAGCGTTTTAATCAAAGGTGGGCAGTACATAAACCGATACTTGATGTCGACAACGGTTTTTTTAAAAAACTTTGATATTTATTTATTTTTGATATTTTTTGGATTAAAAATGTCTATTGTCATAACAATATGTCTTTCGATTATGAAAAAAGTAAATCGGATTTTCAGTCAAATTTCGTATATATTAAATAATTTAAACATTAATTCATGGTTTTCGATTTTAAATATCGGATATCCGGTATCGGTTTTGTATCGGTAGAATATATCGGATATTGGTAAACAGTAGTACCGGCTCATCCTTAGTTTTAATGTGAACCCGCCGTTACCTTAATCTTATTCGGTTCCTATATTTTTTTCTTCTTGTAAATATTCTTAAAATTAGTTTGTTATAACTATCCATACTCTATTGTTTGTTGTTGTAGCCTCAGTATTTTTATAGATCCTTGTATTTTTAACGATATATAACCTTAGTATCCTTCAACATCAACTCCGTCAATAATTGGTTTTAGTAAGCTTCTTTTTACACACATATATATATAATAATAATGTTTTAATTTTGTTTGTTTTTAAGGAGCCGTGTCACCTATTTTGGAATCTGAAGAAGATTTTTATGCTTAACATAGTCGGTCGAAAACAACGAAACGATGGCATAGTGGCAAGATGACATCAAAAGTTGGCAAAAATTAGTTTTATATTTTGTATTTTGTATTTTTTTCTATCTGTAAACAACTTGTTGACCAGTAATCTTGATCCAATTATCAACTTAAGTCTTAAGGGGTGGTTATTGGTTGAAAATATTATCTAGTTGACAAATTTAAGAGGCCCTTTGTTATTTTCCGAGTAGTTTTCTTAATAGTCGGAGAAAACCGGGAAAAAGCTTCGGAAAAACGGAAATATTTACGTAATAATTAAGGGTTACTGCGTTAATGATCGATTAAATTTTTTGTTGTAAACCAATTAAAAATAATCAAAAAAATCTGACATTTTCATTAAATTAATTAGCCTTATATAATTAGCCTTTTCTATACTTGGTAAAATGTTCAACATTTTCCCCAGATTTTTGAGCTATTTAAAACTATTTGAAAATGTTTGCTGTCCGTGTGAAATTATTATATGACATCGCAGAATATTAAGCACGGAAAGACCCGAAAGTGAACTTGAATTATTATTATTATGGTCATGATAAAATTAATAATGATAAATTGGCATCACTCATGTTTAATTATTGTAGATTCATTAAATTAAAAAAAAAAAAAATTAAAAATCATACAATCATAATACAAAATTGACATGTTGCTATAATGACCTAATGATATTTTGAAGTTGGTAAACGTCAAAATCGCAATGTTTTAACAAACAAATTTAAACAAAAGTTGGTTTTATTGCTTGTTGTTAAGGTGCACGGGGGGGGGGGGGAAGGGGTGGCACGGTGTGTTACGGTTGCTGTAACTAGATCGATTTAAGCCGTACCGCGTGCTTGAATCCGGTTTTAAACGCAGGACGAACACCGATCGCGCATGATAATTTGATGATAACACTGCAGTTTAATTTGATAAATGCTGTTTTTGTAGGCTTTCGATGTCATCTCTGTGCGACGCCATAATGATATGTTTGTCTTTTTCCGAGCCGGATATTGCGAAATGTAACTCTGATGTTACACGCGGGACTGTTTCGTATATTATGATAATATTGTATACTTTTGTGTATTGTCAATTGCATTATTATTACACGCGGTGTGAAACGCGAGCGAAATGCGTTTTTTATTTGAAACGTACATCTATAATCGGCGTTCGAACCGAATAAGTACCTATTGGGTAATTCTATAATATTATAGATGTAACATATAGTACCGTTTGAATTTTCGAAAAACAACAGTTTTCGTAATATTTCGTCATACGATGATTTATGAATACAGTATTATAATTTTTATGCGCAAAAAGGAGTAGTGAAAAAACAACGCGATAAAAACAGCCCCCTGTCGCCGATCAATTATCGCGGTAGGCTAGTATTTTAATAGCTATTCGAATACACGACACTGAACTGTAAAAAAATATTCTCCTTGATCACGGTATTTTACAAAGCTGGGCAAGTTAGTCGTTTTTTTTAACAAGTTAAAATTTAATTACTTTCATAAAAAAAACAAACCAATAAAGCTAGAATAGAAGTAAGTTTCTGAAATTTCCTATAAATTCTAACTTAGTTAGAAATTAGTTGCTGGAAAAAGCAACTTTTAACTTTCTAACTAGTTGGTGCCCAGCCTTGGTATTTTACGACAACGAGATACGCCACGAGACACAGTCATAAGGAGCCACCACACCGACATATTATTTTGTTTTCTCTGCCTTATCACGCGTAATATACAACTACAAAGGCATTCTGCACTTTAACGATTGCGATTTTCTGATGGTTTAATTTATGGCAAAAGGACCAATACTAGACCTGTACTTTACACAAATAAGAATATTTTCTATATGATCGATCAATTTTTTTAAATATTTATATTTTTTTTTTTATCCATATACACGTGTTTTGATTTAGTTCGATTTCTGTTAACTCTAACCGCCGTATAATAACTTATTAAGAAAATTACAAATATATTGTGTTTAGAACACATAGAATAAAGTATTATAGGAACGCATCGGTGAGTATATACAAAATGGGTGTCGTGAAATAGAAATGTCGATAAACGCCGCGGACACGCGTGTTTAGAATATTATAATATTGCATTATTATCGCTAATGTATCGCGTATACAGAGTGATTTCTTTCTTTTTTTTTTTTATGACGATTCAGCGATCGTCACGCGGTGGATTTTAAGTGAATTTAATTTCTGTTGTTTTAAATCGTTATATTATTATGGAATCGTTTAAACTTTATTCCAACACTATTTTCAATCACCACTCCTCATCGAATCTTAAAGGGTTGTATTTACTTTTGATTTACATGACCTTTGATAGCCATTTAATATAGGGGAGAGTGATGAATTCCGTAATATCCACGTTTAGACGATAGCCCTTTCCCGCTCCCTCGGTTTTCTATTTGAAAATGTTATTATTACCTGCAAATGGTATGTAAAGGGGGAGGGGTACATATGGTTTCCGAATTCAAAAATATGTGTTTATGGTGTGCACGAAAAATGTTGAAAATATTGTCAACAATACGACTGAAAAAAACCAAAACAAATTTTACTCGAAACCATTGTATAATATATATTATAATAGTATACATGTTATGGATCGGGACTAGGGAATTATAAGAGTTTTTAATCATCATTCAAAACATAGCTTAAAGGGACAAAGAAATCTATTTCAAGTTTTTTTTTGTAAGCATATTTTGCATATTTAGTAGTGATGGGCAACAATATCGATGTCGTGACAAAATGTCGTTAAATCGATAAAAAAAAAAAATCGATATTACATCCAATATCGGGTATTATTTGTAGCTACGATAAATATTAAATAATATCTGTCGGACGATAACGTTATAATATTATTATAATATAATAATAACTTATATTATAAGTTATAATGTTATCTGTAAAGTTAGGTATTACGTAGTTTCTTATAGTTCAAAAATACTTTTTTTTTTCGGTTTGCTTATATTGTTGTGTTCAATATTATATTTTTTTCGCTGATAAAATAGTAATATTTGAAATAGTTTTAAAATACTTTCGATATTTTCGTACAACCTTACGATATCGCGATACAATATCGGGAAAATCGGAACGATATCGATACCCAAAATTATATCGTTGCCCCCCCCCCCATCGCTAATATTTAGCTTTTTTTCACACGTTATAGTGCACATTTTGATAGTTATTGAATTTGTATAGCGTATTTGACAAAATTACACTGAAATAGTATTTAATTTGTCTTTAAAATTGGTAAAACAAAACATAGAAATTTCCTACAATATGCTATACGTATAGATTTATAATTGAAATTTTGAACTGCCTGCAAGATTATTATTTTGGTCATCACGCGGATAACATTACAGTACCTATTATATCTATGAACGAAATGAAAGAATTTTATGAAGTATGTAATAATATGTTCTTTTTTTCAATTTTTTACTGCAATAACGCGTACAAATTTAATACATATTATTTTAACAGCTTGTTATTCTTCATGTTTCGAGTGCTATTATAATAATGCGTACACATGTTTCGATCATTTGATGGTTGTCGAGTCCATAGCTCCGTAGTTTTAGACAATCTGTGAATCACGAGGGGAGGGGGGAAACACCACCGCGTATAATGATGTGCATACACGTAGAAAATTGGCTTTAACTTTCGCAGTAAATTCGCGCGTGTCGACCGGCACCGCCGAGACGCGCCCGACCGCGCGAACCGATCCGATCCGATCGGAACCGACCGGGTGTTCTGGCGGTTTCCCGCAAGACTGTCGGCCGGCACCTAATCGGATGCATGTGCACATGCGAGAAAAAAACATTTTTTTTTTTTTCTTACGACGACAGTGTGCGGTGCGCAATGCAGTAATAACAACGATACGTCTGGCGGCGCAGACCGTATACATGTGCGGGTCTTCGTTCCCCGAGAGACCGCCGCAAAAAGTTTTACGGTCGTCGCCGCCGCCGCCGGAGTAAAAATATTTCAGATTTCCGAGAAGCCTGGCCCCGCCGCTTCGTTCGATTTCCATCGACCCGTTGCCGATATTTCGCAAATCCGGTTCCCGAACATTTGCAAAACCCGTTGTTTCGGCCACATGAACGTTTTGTTCTGTTGCTGTTTTTTTTTTTTTTTTTTTCATTATTATGAGACTGAGCTAACTGCGCTCAAACTCCCGCAGTTTTCCGTTTAAAAATCGTGTGTGTTCTAATGCCGTACGGTCGAACGTCAAGTGTCCCGAAAGGCATCCGTCCGAATAATTTTACATTCGAAATTTTTGAAAAACAAATACCTAATAGCGGATTTTTTTTTACAAATTTAATAAAATATGTATAAAAAAAATCGTAAACGCAAATGCTACTTAATAAAAACTAAAATTGTATGATGTTCCATTTTGAAACTTTATTGTATACTGTCGTTTGGGTTTTCAACGAAATAATACTGAATTTTTTTTTTTCAATTATATTACGAAACTGCGATTCACGTTTTTTACCTCGAATATATACGAACTTATGAATTTTTCAAACGGACACGCTCGAACAAACAACATTCGAACACATAAAATGCTCCGTCGACCGATATTATTTTGTACATTGTCTATAAAAAATCGTTTTAAATGAAAATAGAGTTGTAGAATAGTACTGAACTAACCAAAAGTAAACACGAATTCGTATTTATTTTTTAAAAACACGATATTTTTAAATATTTCGATAACACGGAATTTTATTATTTTCCTCCGAGTCACCCATAGTGTACTTACATTCACGGCCCAGCAATTCTTCTCTCACGTACCTCTACTATTAATTGCTGCACTTATTTTTTCTGTTTTTTTTTTTATTCGTCGTGACGCATCGCCATTTTAGATTCAGAGCATAGCGAAGGATCTATTCGTTTTACTATGATGTGTGTTTTTATAATTCAGTTTAAATAATCCTAGAGACTTAAAATGTAGACAGAAAACTTATATTTGATTTTTCTAGACGTAGTAAAACTTTCAAAATATTTGATCCACTTTTGAGCTAATTATGGACATTTAAATTCTGCGAGTTTGTACGTAATTTTTATTCGATTGGTAATCTATGGATAAAATTGTTAGACTAAATAGAAATGCTTGACAATTTAACAGGAGATTCCTTAAATTTCGTATTTCGTGATTAAAAAAAATTTGAGCTTATATAGTATTTTTTTTTATAAAGGAATTTTAATTTCAAATTTTGATGAAAATCGTTTGAATAAAAAATCATGTGGAACAAATCTAGTTACTGGTCCGTGCAAATTTTCCAAATGGATTTGTTTTGAACATAATATGTATATTTTATATTTCAAATTTAAGATTGATGGGGAATTCAGAATTGGGCGGACTAACTTAGTTTTGAAATTAAAGCTTTTTGAAGGTTTGCAGATATTATGCGAATATTATAATGTGTTATGTTAAATAATTTAATAATGTCAATATAATACTTCGTCTGTCGTAGTTTAGTGGTGGTATGTACCCGTTATCAACCCAGAGATCAATTTACCAATTTTTGCAGTATATTTTCTCTGTTAATTACAGTGAAATAGTATACAGTTTTGTGTATTTATAAAATAACGTTAAGTTAAAATATTGAGATAGGTAACGAAAAAATGTAATTAAGTAGGTCTGTTTTCAGCAATAAAAACTCTCGATTTGTTGTGCAAAACTATGTCATGTAAATAACAGGAGAAAAATTTTGCAAGGAAAATTATTTTTAACAATTATTATTGTGTGGGGCACCTACCAATCCACACATTTAAAACAATGGAATAAAGTGCAAAAAAAATCTGTTGGTACGCAGGTTCGACGTACTAAAAATCTCTGGGTTGATAAGGATGTATGTAAAAACTTTGAACAATATCACTTTGAATGTAAAATTATTTGAAACTAAGAATCGTTAAATATTAACCAGGTAATTTGAATAGACATTATATTGTAAATATAAACCTTGTATTGATCCTATTTTGAAAAATATAAACTATGAATCGACATTATTGTGAAAATATAAATTTCGATTCGATATAATTTTGAAATTATAAATCTGAAAATAATATATCAAGTTATGTTAAATCCACTAGCAATATTTTATAAGGAAGATAGTAGTTCCTAAATTTGTATACACCTACTGTTGAAATTACTTAATAATTTTTAGGTGCTGAGTAGGCAAGTTTATTATATACAGTACAATCAAAGGAGTTGAATAGGCAACATTATATACAATATTGAGAACCACTGTATTTCCTGATCAAATATTGCTAGTGGTCGTAGCTGGGTATCAAGGTGGATCAATCCAAACTAATATTTTTTCAAAGTTTTTTATTTTTCAAATAATGTAGATTCGAGGTTTGTTCATTCCAAATAAATCGTTTCCAAATTATATAGATTTAAAAAACAACTTTTCAAAAATAGTAGTTTCAAATATTTGATATTCAAACAATGTACAGCACCTCAGTAGACAACAATTAACAGGTATACCCCGAAAACGCTCACTTGAGTTACCTTATTTTTTTACTACATGAATACACTTTTTCTTCTGAGTTCTGATTCCACTCATTTTAAAAAACTGCAATTATTAAAACTAAGTAATATTCAAATGAATTTAACAAAAGATCCTGAATTTAAGTTTAATTTTAATGATATTTGTAACAGAACTATTATAACAAATGGAATTTTATATTTTATATAATTGTATATAAATGAAAATTCGTATAATACTTACAATTAACAAAATTACAGTCATGCTACCCATTTTTGCCTTCCAAATAACACAACATAACGATGAACCATTATAATATCGTATTTAATATTCTTAAAATAATCGTTGTGAAATTTAAATAATTGCAATTTGTAATCGTTCAACTCACGAATTAAGATTTAAAATCGAAAAATACATAAAAATAGTAGCATAAAATATAATTATCATTATGGTAATGGTTTAGGGATTTTAAATTTAAGTGTTGGTCAATCGAATCTGATAAAAATTTTTTTTTGTTACCAGTTTTAAGAGAACTGCTATAAGCTCCAATTCGGAAGAACTGTCCTACGGCCATATTAGCCCCTGATAATTTGTTCCTTGAGCTGTCTCTAAACGCTCGTATTTTCGCAGGGGCGGTAAGGTCATTCATCACTATAAAAATAAAATGCCTCACTTTATAAAATAGTTTAGTAACCACGAATTAAAATATACATTAATTATATACTAATACGAGTATATATATTTATTAATTATATTACCTACTTTATATATATTTTAATTCGTGATAGTAACTGTACCCATCCATCTTGAAACGGGAAGCTACAACTGGAGGTATTTAATTTTTATCTGTTACCAACGATAAATCATTGTTAACGAAAACCGATTCGGTGCAAAGTTCGGCAATACATATTTTGAAAAGCTGTAATATTTAAGAGTTTTGTCAAAGTTTGATTTTAATACTCTCATAAAAAAAATATATTTTCTTAAACATTTTCTTCTAAATCAATAGGCAATCCAGTTCGGGCAGAAAAAACACGATGCTTGATAAAAACCTTCAGTTGTACTTACAACTGGCTGTTGCACTTAAATCATATACTATGGATAGAGCTATCGACTAAATATTTGATACAAACACAACTAAGGGGAGTTGGAACAAATTTGCATGTGCATAATGGTCGAATTCACGTAATTACGTATGACATATCTACCACCATTACCTAGTGGCATTATAATGATCATAAAATAAATATGCGACGAGTACTGATACGCATGCACAACAGACATCAGTCCCCTTAGCATTCGTTAATAATGATGTCTTCAACACGTACTACGCGTTTATCATGCAGTAGCTCTATCCAAAGTATATGATCTAAGCTGTTGCAAAAACGACTTTTATCTTTTATCTATTCGACAAATAATGTCTTATCGAATCGATAAGTTAGAGGCTCAATTTTGGTTCGATAAGTAATAAAACCAGTCTCATAACTATTTATTGAACTGATAATACGCTTACATTTATTGGTTATTGACTTAATTTATTTTGTGGTTATACATTTTATTAGTCTTTTTTAAATTTTGTATTAATTTAATAATGAATCAAAATTTATCATTTCAAAAAGATGATAACAAATAATGACCGATTTATCATTTATTGAATATACCACACTACTACGACCAGGGTGTTATCAAATAATTATATTTATGTTGAACATTTTACGCAACACTACTGAGGTGCATTCAGAAACGTTATCTACGATTTTTGGGGAATTCGCCAGAGAAAGATTTAGCAACGCCCATTTCAATGAACCAACAAGTCATCAACCAAGTTACCTAAGTTATGTAACCTGTAAATAGTTTTATCAGAAATAAATTAGGTTTTGGCGGCCATATGGCAATAGATAAGGATACCACCCAGTTAATATTATCATTAATTATTATAAAACGAAATTGTAATAGTAATCGGTAAAAAGGACCAAGGAAAAAAGAACAATAATTTAAAAATTTTAAATATATATATTGATTATAAAAACTAAAAAAAATTGTATTTAATATAATTAAAAATATTGAAATATAAAAAATATAGTATTATAAAAATATTTCTTGCGAAAATTGTTGGTTTTTTAATTGGAAAGAATCTCTAAGTTGAATTAAAAAGTACATAGAAAATGTTGTTATACATTCTTCTAATAATATTTTTCAAAGATTAGGTAACTTAGGTTAAAATTAGTAATATTTTTTAATTAGTGTATTTTATTAGTTTTTGTAATTAGCACCTAATAGTATAGTTCATACACTTACAACTACAACTTGAGGAAACCTTAAATCCAATCAGACGTTAATAATAAACTGTTATACACTTTGTTATTTAATAAGCATGATAGTAGGTAAAACTATATCAAATAATTGGTGCAAAGTAAGAAGTAGTTTGAACCATACATATCACTGTCGTTTCACGGCCTACAGGAGTGCGTTAAAAGAGGCGAACTAACCTGGTTTCTGAACGCGAAAGCGACTTGTCGATGAATTCCCCGAAAACGTCCCAAATACTTACTGAACGAGTCTGGCGACAGCCGTCACTCTGGAAAAAAAGTTCTGAACGTTTATATTAACGATTATTGTATGGAAGATATTTATAATTTATATAATAATTTATTGACCCAATAGCAAACCTCCTACCTATGTTTTTTAAGGTATTAAAATCAAAAATGATGATTGACTATTGGTTAACCAATACATAATAACCACACGGTTCAACCAATCACAGTTCTAGAATATTTCACGTTTAACGTTTCACAGAAAGTTGTGAGGATACCTTTAAACTCTAATAATGTAAAATTAATAATCAATTATTATTTAAGTTACCAGAGTTCTGAAACTCAATATAAGTAGGTACTAAGCCACTTATTACATAAAGATTCTTTATCTTACAAAAGCTTCTTCTTCGCTTTCATCCCAAATATTTGGAATCGCTAAACTTCCATTTGACATAATCTTCTACCTCTTACTACTAACTTCAGAATTCTCTCCCCATGATTTGCCCAAATCATCTCTGTCCATTTTGTCTATTATCAAAGATATGCATAAGCGACCTTTTATTTACTCATCCCTTATTGTATCCTGTCTCGTCACTCCACTCATCCATTGATCCATCTAACCATTCTCATCTCTGCTACACTCATGTTCTGTTATATTTTCCTATCTACTCTGAAACATACAACATAATCACAAAATGTTATTTACTAATTTTTATAGAGTTACACCAAATTAAAAACAAGTAAAAGCATACTAATTTATTTTATATAATTTTGCTTTTCAGCTAATTATGAAAAATAACACTAATAAAATTTACTGTTTAATACTTAGATTTTCAATTTAAACTGTAAACAATGAATTGAAATGGATTGATTAGGAAGTTTGTATCCCCTTGTGAACAGCAATGATTTAATTATAAATACATTGATAAAATACGTCATAAATATTATAAATGAAGAAAAAGCTATTAGATCTGTTAATTGTGGATATTATTTTGACGCTGAGGGAAGAAATTATCAGAGTCTAGAAGACTGGGAGTTGGAAACTTTAAATATAGCTGACTTATTTTAAAATGCTATTACTCTACTCTTTACAGCTATGTTCTAGACACATATTTTTGAACATCGACTCTGGAATGGGTTATTTTAGAACAGTGGTTAGTCTATTATTGGGTAATTTTGAAATTGTATAATTATGTATTTATGTAAAATCTTCAAATTGGTTTTATTTTTTAGCAGACAAATTTATATTAAAAATTTTCTTTTATTAAGTGAGATCATAGATTTTATTTTATCTATTTAGGTAGAAATAGTATTAACCATGGAATTGAAGTTGATGAAAAATTAATTGATTTGGCATGAGAAAAAGCAGAAGAATTTCAATTAAATTCTGCAGCAATAAATCATCATGATTTTTGTGAACCAATTTTTATCCAGGGTACATTGAATATATACCTATATATTATTAAGACTTGAATTTTAATGCATTTACATCTTTTTTTTGGAATGTCTTACACGGTGCTCTATAAGCTATAAAATGTATGTATTCAAAATTATTTTGACTATTTTTTAAATTGGTGGGATATTAGTTTTGCCATTAAAAAAGTCTTCGTTAAACGTAATTAGACAAGATGAGCCTTTATGGTGTACAAATGAAATATTTGATAATTCTTTACCAGAATATGAATATCCAAATTTCATTGTACCTGAAGTTAATAGTTTAAAATCGTGACTTTACTTAAATTGAATATTAAAATATTATGAATTTTGATTTAATTTCAAAATTTTATTATTTTGTATTTCCTGTTAAACCGTTAACTTTGTAAGAGTTATGTAGATATACTATTCATTCATTTATGCGCAATTTAACCTGCAAAAAAAAAAAAAAAAACACCGAATTAAAAATACACATTATGTGTCAGTTTAAATAATAATGCATATTGGTTTGTGGAGAATATTAAGAAGAACCAGTTAATTTATGAGACATAGAAAATTCCACCTCTGATGATTCTTCTGTAATAGGCGCCAACTATTTTTTTTTTTTGATCAATGATAGAGATGATGACGAAGAAAAGGAAAGTGATAATCTGGAGGAATGTTTTATAAATAGTATACAAGAAAGACCCTTGACTGGTCATCAAAATATGTATGTAAACTAATGCGTGAAATATTAATCTCGAGCTTATCTTTTGGGCCACTTTTGATTATTGGCATACCCTGGTATGATGATTAGATTATTGGTGTTGAATAATTATAATAGTGTTAACTGGGTGTCTTTTATAGAATTCTTGATTGACAGTTTAGAAACTGGAAATTATAGTGAAGTTCCCAGTAACTTAACAAATTATCGTTTCATAAGTGATTAAAGATTCAACAATTTAAAAAAGTAAACTTTAAAAAAAAAATTTAATGAGAATAAAAATAATTAATGTAAAAGTTATTTTTGGTATATAATATTTCTAAGTCTGTATTGATATCAAAACTTATATTATGTTTATTTTCTAAAACATTTTTAGCAAAATTTGCATTGAGGCAGTCTTTTTCAATTCTATTTCAGAAATGGTTTCTATATATCTTATTTTAAAATGTCTATTTGTCTTACCTGTATACAATTTATGACAGTTAAATTTAAGTTTATATATACCATCATTTTTAAAAGAAGAAGATTTTTTGTGAAGTTTTTAGTACAATTGTTTACATGTTTAATTAAATTACTATTAGTCTTAAAAGAGATTTTTACATTATTTTGTTCAGAATTTTAGCAAATTTATTAGACAAATTATTTTGATATTTCATACTACAATAGACAATAGTTAACAATATTATTTGGTGAGTTGTGTTAAATTTTATTTTAATGTGTTTATAGATTTTTTCAATAGTATTTAAATTGAAATTATATCTATGGGCTATATTAAGACAATATTGTGCTCATGTTGATGAGCGTTGTTTGTTTAATGGAATACATTACATTGGAATATGTAGGTAAGTAAAATCATTTTTTTGTTTACTATTCATTAATCTGAATCCAAAATATATCGTTATATTTAAACATCATAAAATATATATATATATATATATATATATTTTTATCATTATCATTATATAAAAAAGCTAATCATTTTTAAAGATACAGTTCCTCAGATTGGTAAACGTGTTAATGCGTGATTTTAAAAAAAAAAGAATATTAAAATGTTTAGTTAGGTAAATGTTCTAATTAGTTATAAGTTTTGATATTTGACATTAATTTTATTTTATTTACTATTTTGTCCATAAAAGATAATGTATGATCCAAACATCAATTTGCATTATTTATTATTTTACTAATTTTGTTAAACTTTTACATTTTTTTCTTACAACATCAATTTTATTAAAGTTGTTTTAATAACAATTGATAATCAATAAAATGGAAGAGACAAAATAATTTTTTATTTATTGAATTGATAAAATTACAATCAATTTGAATAGCATAATTAATTTAATACTCGTTTAGCCTCAGTTATACTCATATATTATATGAGTATATATATTATATTATATTCTGATCAAATTTAATAAGTAAAAATAATAGAATAAAGTAATTTAACAATATTAGATTATAACTGTCTTATGCATACTTTAATCTTCTAAAAATTAACTAAAGATATCTTACAATTGAATTGTGGACTACCTATATTATTATTTATACATTGACTGTTGATGAAACCAAACTTAAGTGAATAGTCAAATGACTTATATTCATTGTAGGAAAATTCTTTTAACATTTTTCACTTCAAAGTTCAAATAACTATCTCTTGTATTTATATTGAATTTCAATGGTTATCAAAATAATATAAAAATGATTCATCATTTATTGTTTATGCCAAATAATAATAATTAAACACTTTCCATTGTGGTGAACCTATTAATTTGCTTTGAGAGAATACTCTAACATCTTGTACCTAACATGGGGTATTTTCTTATACTGGTTTTATATGGTACCTAAATAAAATGTTAAATTGCACATATTTTATGTTTTGACAGTCTAACTTCTACGCAAATACGGATTAATCAAATAATATTCAAATAAGTGTTATTGAAATATTCTCCAGCACAAATGATAACACAAACATGATGACAAATACAGGTATTTCCATTGGTAAACAATTGTTTTTCACAATTAAAAAGTTATTGTTAAGGGAATCTAGATATCAACAAAAACAAAATAGAACCTAAAAGGCGAACTGCTGCTGAAAAATTCGATAAATATTTCAAATAAAATGTTACTGGTCAGATATCTAGTTAGTGAGTAAAAAATTAGTTTTTTGATAATTAAGTAAAACCAAAAGTAATTTGTTTATTGTTTTTAATTGTAATTCAGTTAAAAGTATTCATAGAGTAAACATTTTGAGGGTACCTACTTTATGAATAAAGTTATTTAACAAGAAGTCCATTATAAATTGTACTTGGTAAAAAAATTGATTAATGTGATATTTTTTGTGTGTTTTAATATCAAATTTTTACAAAAATCATAAATATTATGGCCTTCAATTCCATGTATCTCAATTTCACTCTGAATCATTTTTCGAAAAGGTTTATCGTTGCTTAGATTTTTTAATTAAAAAAGTTTATGTATTTTACCTTTTCCCATCTACAACAGTGGTACATCCATCCTCAATATCTGCTATTTTTTTTTAGTATATTTTCCATTACGCTTAATTTTTAAATTTTTTCCCTTTTTTTTTTTTTTTAATGACCATACAGAGTTGAATGTCTGTACCTTCGACCATATACACTTAGGGACATTTAACAATAGTCAGTTAAATGTCCAGTTAACAAATATCAAATTAAAACTGGAGTCAATAGATAAAAAAAAATAATGATTTTATCAATTATTTTTATTCTGAGGTTAACTAATCTAGGTTTAACCCACAAACTAGGATAGATATGCAGGACTGGAAATGAAGATCAAAAAAGTAGACCTATTATTTTTAATTTAATTTTTTATTATAAGCCACAAATATAGTACAAGACACAATCTTCAACTGATAACTTTTATATCTAAATATTACAAAATGAATATTTATTTGAAAATTACAAAAATCATATGATAATATAAAGATCTATTTCTGAGATTGTGTATGTAAACGTATTACATATTAGCAAAATATAAAGACATTCAATTTTCACTTTTAATATGTATTAATATGAAATCCAATGACATAGGTACTACATTTTATTGCAAGAATATGAACCTTTATAAAGAACTTTTTTTTATTAACTAATGTTTGATAAATAAAAAGGTAATTCACATTTTTACTAATATTGTCAATACAAATACAAATGGGAAAAAAAGTAGGTATAAATTATTTTCTTGTAAATTCTTCATTATTGGTGAATACACAAATTATAAATATGTTATAATAGAATAAAAAAAAGAAAAAATATCATTCAATTCCAATTTATAGTAAAATATTAGAAAAATCCGATGTGAATATTCCTTTCAAAAATGAATGGTTTGCCAAGTTACCTGAAAAAAATTTTTTTAATTTTAATTAACATTTTTTTATTGACATTATTAATAAAAATAGAGAACTTATACATTGTGTATATACTTACATTTTAATATTTGAAATCTGATGGCAAGTTGTACTTTATAAATGGTACTGTCACACTTGCGCCATTGAAGTTGGTGCAGCATATATCTAAAGCTAATGATTTGACATTAGGTTTAATTTTGTATTGCGATTTGTTGTATAAAATTTCAGATATTTTAGTATTGATCCGCTTTTTTATCTTTTCATCGGACATACTAGAGGAGTATAACAACCAATATCCTTCGCTAAGCATAGTAATTTCCAGTGCATGTTTTTCTCTAAAGTAGTTTATAAATTCCCCAAGTGTAAGTTCACCTTCTATTTCAAAACGGTCCCATAAAGTCCATTCAATATCATTATATTTAGACTTTGGTGCAGTTAATGGCTCAGAAAAACCAAAGAATGGTAGGGCTAAATTAATGAAACCATTTTTGTACTTTTTCAATTCCTTAAATCCCCAAGCCAATTTAATAAACTCTTGGCAAGCCAGACCAGCAACGACTGAAGATGTTGTAACAATTGCTGGAATAATTTTACCACCAATAAGTTTGGCTTGATCTCTACTAGCAAGTTGAATTTCATAATTAACAGCTCTTATATTAGATGCAGCCAAAATAAAATCAATATGTAAATTATTATCATCATCTTCTTCAAATTCTAAAGGAACAATTTTAAATTTTTTTAGAGAGGCTGCTGGTGGTAAATCTTCTTGCGTGTTATTTAGTTCATTTAGATTAACTATTGATGACACAACAGTGACCTGCGTATTATTTTCAGCAATCCTTATACCAGACTTTGGAACAAATTCAGGAACTTTTACCAGAGATACAACCTTAGCTATATAGATACGATCTCTAATCTGGTTAATGTTATATGCCTCTGCTTTTAAATTGGACGCTGCAAAAATAAAGTCCAAATGTAACATGTTGTTTACATCAAAACTAATTGGTTTAGGACAACGTTTGAGTCCTGACCAAAATGGCTGTCCACTAGATGTTGTTTCATCTGGTGGAAAATTTATCAAAAGTTGTTTGATCTGATTAGAAAATTGATCTTCAAAATGCAATCTTGCCCATTCAATACAATCGTCAAAATTTTTAGGAGCTTTTTTCAGTAACTTTCTAGCCATATCTATAGTTTTTGCTGGTATGTTGGGAAAATGATTTGTGCGTTCGTTTTGATTTACATATTCTATAAATTGTTTATCTCTTCCAAGAACTTCTGTAAACATTTCTTTAAATGAATCTTTTGCCCATTGTAATGTGTGTTCAATAGTATATGGGAAATTATGCAAAATACAAATTGGGAACTCTTTTTCTTTAGTATCTTGAGATGAGTTATATGATTCAGTTAACATTGGTAAAACAATCTGAGTATTACCCTTTGTACCCCAAGTTCCTGACTCTAAGAGTGGTTTTTTATGGAAAATACAACGCGAATCCATGTATACGCGAGCATCAACATTATCCAAAGCAAGAGCCACACCATCCAAATTATCGAAAAAAGTATCATTATATGTCGGTTCTATGCCATGACAAACTTTATTTGTATGTGGATCCACGTTTACATTAGGATTCATTTGTTTTATAGCTTTGGCAGCGGTTTCTGATTTTGAGGTTTGAATATCATCATTGCTAAACAAAAACTGTGTATTTAAATTAGACTTTTTAACTAAATCCATATCGGTGACAATAATTTTACCATTACCACATCCAACACCCATAATTGCAAAATTTTTTAACAATTCACAACCGATAGCTCCAGCTCCAACAACAAAATACTTCAGATTACCTAAAATGGTTTGGAACTTTTGTCCATAAACAGCTACTTGACCGTCATAACGATTACCAACAGGTTTAGCATCTTCTTCTGTGACTTTTTCAGGCAAAGTTTCAGTGGCATCAAAATAAAACCATTGAAATATTGGGCTAAATTTGCCAGAACACGATTTCATGACTTCTTGTGCTACAATACCACCAATAAAAGATGTCATAGGATTAATATTACCAGCACAAACGTTAGAAAAAGTTTTTATTAAATCGACATCAAGTTCAACAGAAGTTGTATTGACACTCTCAGTTAATTTTAAAAACGCATTAGCATCTTCTGAGCTCCAGGGAGTAGGTAATCGACCGTTGGCTGAAACAAACTTGTGTAAAGCTGTAAATGCTAAATGCAATTGAGTTGGTCTATCAAATTTACCGAAATCTGAAATTAGATATTCTGGTTCGTCTAATGAATCTTTTAGTGATTTGAAATTTAACTTTTTCGGCATTTTTACTTGTGTAGCAATACCACCTTCAATATAATCTGAATAAGACGTAGTATCACCAATACTAAATTTATACGGTCCCAACACTGTAATTTTTTTCGGTTCACAACCATTTATTTCAGTCATACCTTTAACTTCTCTAAAGGTTACATAATCTCCATCTTCGAAACCATGACGAAAGTCTTCCATGCATGTAACTACTCCTTGTTCTTTCTTTGAAATTCCAGCCACCATTACAGAAATTGGGTTTTCACCAGTAGAGTCTGTTACAACAAAATCCTCACCAAAATCACAGAACACTTGTGAAAATACACCTCTTGTGTCAGCAATTATAAGAGCAATTCCATTTGGATGTGTAATATCCGATACGCGTAACTGTTCATCTAATGTGGCTTCTGTTAAAACGACTACTTTGAACTGCTTGATAAAAGAATCGGACAAAACTCCAATGTACGCTTTAACTGGTACATAGGAATTAAGTTCTGCCAACTTTGAGTAACTGACTAACGCTCTATTCTTTCCAATATCTTCCTCCGACAAGTAGAACTGAGACGACAAATCTCTGTAAGTACAAACAACAGAATCATGCAATGTGACGGATTTAACACCACCGAGTATGACATTCTTGGCAATTTCAACGCCCAATCCGCCAAGCCCGCTGATTAACACGTCGGATGAGGCCATTTTACGCATTGCATCGTGACCTAAAACGTATAGCTGACGCGAATAGAAGCTACCGTCGAATTCGTTTACACCGTTCTTAGACATTATTACCTGTTTGTCTGCCATAGAGTCAGAAGATACCACTGCAGACGATTCACCGGAAGTCAGTTTACGCTTCTTGGCCGGAAATTCACAGGTGGTGACTAGTACTTCAGCACCGGACATCGGACAACAAAAAACCAAATTAGTTACACTGCGTACGACGCGTACGAGGAACGAAAAACAAATTATTTACTTCCACGACAAAGCACAAAATTATTGCGACGGAGATAAGTAAGAAATTTATCGTTTGTGAGTGGAGCGTATTCACAATTGTAAGAGAGGTTATATTTCCTGATGGGCGGAACGCGGAAAACGTGATTTATAAATTATAACTCAACACTATGATAGATAATAAAGAATCGATAGGCTATGTAGCTTTATCATATGTTCTCGAAAACACGGCTGACCTAATATGTTTTTTTTTTATTCCATGAATATACTTTCACTTCCGAGTACAAAACATGATTATAATATATTTAATTATTATATATTATAATCACTATTATAAATTATAGACCATATAAAATATAGACCTTTGGGTCATATACAAGGATAGGAGGACAAGGATTATACTCGTTTTGTATATAACACACAATTTAAGATATACCATATGTTTCTTAATTCATCTGTAATGACATCACTGATAACGAAAATTTTTAAGATAGGACATTTGGTCCCCGGAGTTATTATCTATAGGACGTTTGGTCCCGGTAGTATTTTGTTTTTAGTATTATACTTGCTACGTTTGGTTATATGTTTTATAAATGATTAATAATACATATTTGATATGATTGTACTAGATAGACAGTAAGTCAGGTATATGACTCTAAATTTATATTAATATCATGATAAAATATAGAGATATGTCAGCACTTTATCTTTGCCACTTTATCTTTGCACTTTATCTATTTATCAATAGATAGGACTGAAAGTTTTTCAAAGATAGACATTGTATGTCCTAAAATTAAGAATACAATTTTAGGAAATAATTATTTAAATTAATGACAAAAAAAAAAAAACACAAAAAAAACAAAATAACAATCATCCTACCTTCAGCTTTCATTAATGAAATTACACTTGACAGTATACCAAGATCAACTATAAAATTTGACCATATTTGTAGAGTTGATAAGCCTGAAGCCAGATTAAAAAAGTTTATTTAACTGAATTACTCGTTTTAAGTTAAATAATTATTATTTTTCAAACAAGGTAGAAGAAATTTTTCTCATCATGTAAAAACCGATATGGTTTTAGCGAAATACTTCTCAGTGCAATTGCTGATGAAATATCTTCATGAGACCATTAAAACTTTTTTAAAGGGATTTAATAATAAATTTATTTGGATCTGACTAAAAACATTTATTAATGTTTTTGAAAATGTATGTTTGAAATGTTTCTCCTCTTTGCTAACGTATTGTTTAACTTTACTAAATTTACTAACTTTTGAATATATTACAATAGCTCAATATGTTTTTAATCTGGAAAACTGTAATTCATTTTTTTATATGTTTACTATAGGTAAAAAATTCAATAAATAATAATTACAAATATGATGTATAATTGTAATATTTTCGTAGTTTTGTTATTTAGTCCTTAGTGTATTTTATATACACCAAATAATTTTAATGTATGAAATTTAATAATTAAAAATAGCACAAACACATTATTTGATTTATATATATATTATCCTTATTAGACATAAAATCATATAAAATAAATATATTATATTATGTAAATATTATATATTTAATTAAAATTTAATACAATTATAAAATATATATTTTGTAACAAGTAAAATTACACAATACAAAAACAGATATTAGAAAATTTAAAATATAGTAGAACAAAGAAGAATATACATTGTTTGTTTTGGGAGGGTTTGAAGACTTTACAAAATAATACTAATTAAACACCCAAATTAGGAGCCACTGAAACTACTTCTTTGTTTTATTAGACCAAAAATGAATCAAAATTGCTAAATATGCTTGTTACCCCATAATTTTTCTCCAAGTAATATCTATGGTGTTACATATTTTGAAATGTAGTCACAGAAAAATAATGAAAACATTTAACTTTATATATTTTTGTACAGCATAAGTGGTAAATTATACACCACCAATTATAATATTCCAGCTACATTTTTTCTTCATAATTATTTATATATTTAATATGGAGTAAATTCCATTTATTAAAACAAGTACAACAGCAAAATGTATGTAATACAACAGTATACTAAATTAAATCTACATAGTAATTAATATATAAATACAAATAAAACATAACACAAAAAAAAAATACATGTACATAAATAATCCACATATTGGTGTAACAATCAATTACATTAACAAGCATATTATTAAATAATATTAAAAATTCTTAACCTTTGTAATGATTCTAAGTGTTGTATAGAAGTAATGTTATTAGGAGACAAAATAAAGGAAGCATATTCCAGATTTATTTCTATTCTTTATTCATTGTTATATTTTTGAATATTACCATTCAAAAAATATTGCTTTTTGAATAATATTATTAATTATACACTGTTCTTACTTTTTATTAGATTCCTCCAAGTTTTGAATATAATCTTGTTTAACATCAGATTTTTCTAAAATTTCATTAGGAAAAGGTATAAAATCATTGTTATTATTATTGAAATTAAGCGATTCATTTATGCCAACATCAAATAGATTTTGATGAAATTTTTTTTGAAGTACAACATAAGCTCGTCTATTATAATTGAAAATCATTGTGGTAATAGTTTTAATATTATTAAAATTAAGTAAATTGTTAGTGTTAAGGTAAATAAATTTCAAAAACATTTTTCGTGGAGTATACCTTTAGCTGACCTGGGTATTATAATTGAAAATCATGACAATTACCTATATAATAAATAACATTATCTTTTATTTTCATTATCATCTTTATGTATTGAAAATATACCACTTGGTGTATAGATTATACCTGAAGTATTGGGTTTATTGGGGGTGAGAGTTGATGGAGATTTGTTTGGTAATGCATGTATGCTACAAGATTAGGATAATACATTATTAATTATCTATTTATAATTATTATAGTAGGTTCATATAGAATATATTATGAGTATATTTTCCAAGAGCAACTAATAAATCAAATTTAGTCCCTCTTCGCTTACTTATATACTAGTACTACTTAATACATAATATAACAATATGTATTTACTTCAAGGGTATTGCATTAACTTTAAGTCTCCTTGTCTGTTTAGGTGAATACCTAGCAATTTTTTGTATTTCAGTTTTTAAAATGATATCATTTTTACTAAAATGCTTTGAACAAACAACAGCTGCACGAAGTTAAATTATAATAGTATATAAATTATGAAATTTTTTATTAATAATGTTGGAGATTTTATCTTAAATTCATACCAGTAAACATTAACTTCAATAATTTTCATGACGATTCAAATTCAATATTGAAAGGTTTAGTTAATTTAATTTTTATATTTTACCTGTTTGGCAACTGATCTATTCAATATTCGTCCCTATTTTAATTTGAGCTACACATTTTTCACATATAATCAGATTTTTTGGAAATTTGTGCAGATGAATAGTCCTATCTTTCCCAATTCCTTTTTTTCTACTACTACTGTCACAACCAAGAAATATACACCAAGGCATTTTAAAAAAGTGTCAGAGGAATAAAATAAAATAAAAAATAAAAATGTATTATTCCAATCGTATTCAAATAGATTCAAAAACAATATTATATATTTGTACAAACGTGAGGTCATGCAGTGTTATAAAATTGGTGGGAAATCTGACTAATCATATGTGGAGAAAAGCAATATGGTTGTTGTGCAACAATTTTATAAACACCTACTAATGTTGACATAACTTTTTATTAAATCATGATAAATATATTATGAAAACCTGGATAATAAAGTAATTTTAATGATTTTAAAAACTATCGAAAACTATCGATAGTGGCTTACACACTATCAATGGTACCTGGTAGTCAAAACTATCGATAATTCTCCACCACTATAAACCGGTGTAAGTTTTCCCTTGAAAATCAAACCGGTGTGAATTTAAGATATTTTTCAGAGTAACGGGTGTTAAAATTAAAGATACCGGTTTAATTTTTTCGCACCATCACATGCATATGGTACAAACTATTTATTTATTTATTTAAAACATTACAGGCAAGCCCAATTATATATTACATATAATCATAATTTTTTAATTTACAGAAAAATAACAATAACACAATAACAAAGTGGTTATGGTAAAAAGGTAGGTTATTTATTAGTATTGGTGGATATTTGGTTTCATCTGTGGGGGGATTAACATTTTTGTCTTATTCATTAGCAGAAACAAATATTTTTAGTCGCTTTCGACGCTTCTACCTACTAACTGTAGTGGCTACTCCTACTGGATTCTAGCTGAGGCACCAAATATATATATATATATAGGTAATAAAAAAATAGAGCATAAAAAATAAACTATTGAATAGCTACTAAATTATTTTTATTTTAATTGTATATATCTATTTTTTTGTGAAAATATATTAACAATTGTTTCAGTATTAATAAATTTAGAAATTTCTTTTTCAATATATAATATTGAGGTGTTATTGAACCTTTCCTGTAGCATAGAAGTTCGAAGCCAAGTTTTTATTCTACACATGGCTGAAAAACTCCTTTCACAAGTGGAGGAACTTATAGGAATTGTTAAAGCAACTTGAAATAGTTGTTATAAATTAGGGAAAGTCTGTTTTGTTAAAACCTTTTTCACATGATTTAAAGTTATATAATTTTCATTAGTAGATTGCAATACCCAATTCTTTGCCACTTCTATTTCTGATTGTAATACATCTTTAGATACATTCATCAAATCCTGAAACATATACAAAATACAGGTTCACTTTTAATAAAACTAGAAAACTAGAGCATAGGTAAGTAAAAATTAATTTTCACAAACAATACGATACTTACTTTATAATGATCTACAAAGAAAAGACTTTCCTCAAAGTTTAATTGAANTCAAATACAGGAAAGAAAGCATTTTTTCTAAAATAATCTTCAATGGTTTAAATGTTGTCATTCATATTTTGTTCACCACTTGTGGTTGCAGTAGTATCAAAATGTTTAAGATTGTGTGGCTCTTGTCTTTTTCTTTTGCATCTTAGTTAAGTAAATATTAACTTAAAATTATTGTAATTATAAATAAATATAATAGTTTATT